GTGTGTGTGTGTGTGTGTGCACGTGTGTGTATGTGTGTGCGCGTATATGTGTGTGTGTGTGTACGTGCGTGTGTGTGTGGTTTGTGTGCGTGTGATAATTGGTTTGAGCAATTGCTTGATGGAATTAATGTTTCAGTGATTTATCGATTGATTTCAATGATCAAAATGAGTGACTGGTTAATTTGATTATTAATGGAAAAAATGATCCACCAAACTTTCGGAAGAAAACTGATAAAAAAGCAAGGAGTAGGTGAGAGGATGGGAAGAAGGTTGTGTGTGTGTGTGTGTGTGTGTGTGTGTGTGTGTGTGTGTGTGTGTGGGAGGGGGAGGACAGTGGGTTGCGTAATGTCAATTATGATTTGGAATATTTCAATTTAGCCAATTCCCATTCTTCCTTAATCCCGTTCACATCTACCAGATCAATGATACAATGAGATGGGAGTGGGTGGAAGTGTGTGTGTGTGTGTGTGTGTGTGTGGGGGGGGGGTGGGCGGTGGTGTTTCGGGATTGATAAATAACACTGAAAAAGGAATGGTATTCGAGGTATTCAAAATATCCTTTTGATTCAAAATATCCTTTTGATCCATCGATCATGAATATCTCATATCGACCTTATTTTGTAAGTTACAAGTAATTTACCTGTCCAAAATTGGAAGGAAAAATCCTGCGCAGGCCCATTTTCATACCTCTAACTTAAGTGAACACTGTCCATCGAAGCATGATTTTTTTTTTAATTTTTTCATATCATATGAAAGGTTGGTCCTTTAGCTTTCCATACATATAGACATTTTTTCATAAAATTATATATGCTCAATTTGGCAACCATTTCAAAAGTGTTACGTTTTTTTTGAGACACACGGTATTATGTTATCCTTGTATTCTACGCTTATTCTTTCTTACTTGAATTACGGACTTATTGCCTGGGGCAGTGCAGCAACTTCCCAAATTAATAGACTATTCATATTACCCAAAAAAAGCGATTCGTATAATAATGCAGATTTCCGGGCACACACGAATAATCTTTTTCAGAATAATAACATTATTAAAATGAAAGACTTGTATAATTTTCAGCTTGGACAGTTAATGTACAAGCTTAACACTACACAATTACATTTGCATTTTAATGATATGTTCATTAGAAATGATTCGATTCATAGTTACTTCACTCGCCAGGCGAGCTCTTTTCATCTACCATTAAATAGAACATCTTTTGCACAAAAGACATTTGTTTTTACAGGTCAAAAACCGTGGAATTCTCTTTCAAATGATATAATACAATGGAAATCGATACAAATTTTCAAAAGGAGACTTAAAAGCTTTCTTCTGAATAGTTACTAGGCTATTGCATTCCCCAATCAAATATAATTTGTAGTGTGACTTTATGCAACTTTGATTATTTCTTTTTATAAACATGACTTTATCAATGTTTTGCGCTTAAAAGTGATTTTTTGTATAACTGAATCAGTTATTGTTATTGTTTTTATTTTTCTTCTCATGAAATAATAATTCATAATAATTACTTTTACAGGGGGGCTTACACCCTACAAGCTCTGTTTTTTAGTCGGCCCTCCTTCCCTTTCAATTTCATGTTTATTTCTGTAATGTATTGTATTGTGCAAATTGATCTATATGTATATAAATATGTGAATATGTTAAAATGTACCATCATTGTAAATATGAACGATTGAAAGAGGAAAAATAAATGAATTGAATTGAGAAAAAAAAAATTGAATTGAAGTTTTCCTTGAAAAACCACCATTATTCGGACCAACCAAGTTCTTTTTTCTATCCCTATTCTCTCCTTTTCGCTAGAGTTCCAAATGTCTCATAATAAACGTATTGAGGACAATTTTAAAAGCAGACATCCATAATCGGCTGATTTGCGTTGTTCTTTTTCGTTCCTTTTATGAACTAGGCTGCACGCAAGGCAAACACACTTGAACTTGGGACCAAACCGTATTTGCGAATCTACTTAGAAAACACCCACGCTTTGACCTGTGACCTTGTGGCGCGTGACTTCCACGCGCTTGGCGTACGAAATCATTCAACCTCCCTTTCTCTCTCTCTCTCTCTCTCTGTCTTTCTCTCTTTCTCTCACTCTCTGCTCGCCCCTTCTTCCTATCTCCGTCTCTCTCTCTGTTTACGATTGCAATGCTTACACATTATTCAGATATGAGATTTTAATGAATGACATTGCAATGAACGCATATAGTGTAAGACATAGTTACATTCTAGTTAGATGCTGCTTGTATAAAGTGTCGGCTTGCACTACAACTCTCTTTCTAATCATTCTCTCTGTCTCTGTCTTTCTGTCTGATTCTCAGTCTCTTTCTCTCTCTCTCTCTCTCTCTCTCCCTGTCTGTCTCTGTCTTTCTGTCTGACTGTCTCTCTCTCTCTCTCTCTCTTTGTCTCTCTCAGTCTCTGTCTCTTTCTCGGTCTCTTTCCCTGTCTCTATCTCTGTCTCTGTCTCTGTCTCTTCCTCACTCTCTGCTCCTCTCTCTCCCTCCCTCCCCCTCTCTCTCTTTCTGTTTACGATTTCAACGCTTACAAATAATTCAGAAATGAGATTTGACAGTAAAATGAATGTCATTTCAATGACTTACATAAAACAATACAAATATTAATGATCATAAATAGAAAAGAACAGAGATGTTTAATTTTTGTTATTTAAATCAGAGACAACATAAAAATATTGGTAAAGCACATTTTATGAATATATCAGTGAAAAAAAAGGTGTTGCATATATCAAATAAACGATTTTTTGATGTAAAAAATAGAATGTAATAATAATAATAATAATAGTACATTTATAAAGCGCAGAAACTATCCAACATTAGGTATATATTCTACTGCGCTACAAGAGCTCCTGATATGCTTAGATTTACGGTACAGTTAATTAAAAAGAAGTGTTTTCAGTTTTGACTTAAAGACGTTTACAGATGGTGATTTCCTGACTTCAAATGGCAAGTTATTCCAGAGTTTTGGGGCTGCACAAGCAAATGCTCGATCACCTAGCGTTATTTTTGTTTTGATAGATGGGATCTGTAGCAACAAAGTATCTCGGGAACTGCGCAAGTTGCGATTGTGTTGATTAGGTTTGAAATTCAACAGTAATTTGATATAAGTGGGAGCTTGACCAAGACGTGCTTTATATACAATCAGCAAGATTTTGAATGTTATTCTCTGGCGTACTGGTAACCAATGTAGATTTCTCAAAATTGGGGTGATCCGTGTGAATTTAGAACAACCACAGATCAGCCTTGCACAGGTGTTTTGAACCCGTTGCAATCTCACTATTTGAGAGTCAGGGATCCCATACAGTAGACCATTACAATAGTCCAGCTTATTGGTAACACATGCATGTACAATGTCTTTCGTAATGTCCTTATCTAAATATTTACGAATACGTCTGAGATTATAGATCATGTAGTATGCTGATTTACAGACATTTGTGATGTGCTCTCTCATATTCAAATTCGAATCGAACTGTACTCCAAGATTTCTTGCACTAACAGATGGTTCTATTACAGAGTCTCCAATTGATACACTGTTCAAGTTGATTTTGGATGTCTGTTTAGGTGTGCCAATGATCATCAATTCAGTTTTACCATCATTAAGCATGAGCCTATTTTGCAACATCCATCCACGTACATAGTCAACACATGTTTCTAGGAGTGAGACACATCGCTCTTTAGCATGTTCATCAGGTCTGAATGATACGTACAGCTGTGTGTCATCTGCATAGCAGTGGCATGATATCTCGGGGAAATTTGTTCGAACATTTGAAATGAGATTAGCAGTGTACAGAGTAAATAACAAAGGACCCAGCCGAGAACCTTGTGGAACTCCGAAAGGCACTGGCAAATCATCAGAGATCACATCGTCTATTTTGACCTTCTGATATCTATTCGCCAAATACGACTCTATCCATTCAAGAACACTACCATCTATACCAAAACAGGTCTTTAAAGTTTCTAATAAGCAAGAATGATCTATGGTGTCGAATGCACTACTTAGATCTAATAACAGTAAAAGAGAGACTTTCTGGGAATCCATAGCCATCAATAGATCACTCTTTATTCTTAGCAGTGCAGTTTCAGTACTATGGAATTGTCTATATGCAGACTGAGTACATGGCAAAAGTGAGTTGTTATTGAGGTGATGTAAGGAAACTAAAAATCTTTCATAATGTTGGTACTATGAGGAATGCAAATAAAGTGCAAGCTACATTCTGGTTGTAATTCTTCCCAAAAGGCTATGATATAGATTTTAAGACAACAGTCTTGGAAAGAAAAAAAATCTACCGATATAATAATAGGCGCGCGTTATCCTAGTTCAATGTTTAAAAAAAAAAAATTAACGATAAAGTTAAGACTGTATAAACGTTTTTTTAGTCTATTCGAACAGCGTTGGAACCGTCGATACCTGTGGTATAGATTAATGGTTGAAAATAAAATTGCTACTGAACAAATAAATTCATACAATAAATGGAATGTCATCTAAATATACATTATGACAAATAGAAACGAGTAATAATAGTGAGATGCGCCTACAATTTCACAACTTTATTTCTTCTGTTCTCACCGTGATCCAGTATCTGAGAAGACTAGACTAATTTCAAACAACATATCCCCAAGGAAAAACAATATCGGTGTGTAGTAGTCTTCTATAAATGAACAGTTTCCCGATGTTGCATGGTTAAATATTGAAGAAAGAGATGTTGTATCTGGTCTCTCTATCACTCTGACAAAGACACAGATATATATATGCTACCACATCTACAGACATAATTATACACACTCATGCACTCCTACAAAGGGCTGATTCAATCAGAGATTAAAAGACTCAATTTAAAATTTATTTATTTTTGTTTTTCAAGACTATAGCAATACTAATCATAACTTGTGAAAGCCACTTCACAATGATTTACTTTCCCATCAAAAAAATTGCCTGGCCTCTTCCTCCTTCTCTGCCTCCATCTCCTCCTCATCCGCATTCGTTTACTGTTTCTTTGCCTCCAATTCCTCCTCTTCTGCCTTCATCTCCTTCGCATTCATCTCCTCCGCTGCTTTCTTCTCCTCCTCCTCCTCTCCTTTCGTGTCTTCCTCCGCCTTCAACTCCTCCTCTGTCTTCATCTTCTCCGCTGCTTTCTCCTCCTCCTCCTCCTCTCCTTTCGTGTCTTCCTCCATCTTCAACTCCTCCTCTTCTGCCTTCATCTCCTTCGCATTCATCTCCTCCGCTGCTTTCTCCACCTCCTCCTCTCCTTTCGTGTCTTCCTCCGCCTTCAACTCCTCCTCTGTCTTCATCTTCTCCGCTGCTTTCTCCTCCTCCTCCTCTCCTTTCGTGTCTTCCTCCGCCTTCAACTCCTCCTCTGTCTTCATCTTCTCCGCTGCTTTCTCCTCCTCCTCCTCTCCTTTCGTGTCTTCCTCCGCCTTCAACTCCTCCTCTGTCTTCATCTTCTCCGCTGCTTTCTCCTCCTCCTCCTCTCCTTTCGTGTCTTCCTCCGCCTTCAACTCCTCCTCTGTCTTCATCTTCTCCACTGCATTCTCCTCCTCTTCCTCTCCTTTCGTGTCTTCCTCCGCCTTCAACTCCTCCTCTGTCTTCATCTCCTCCGCTGCTTTCTTCTCCTCCTCCTCCTCTCCTTTCGTGTCTTCCTTCGCCTTCAACTCCTCCTCCACCTCTACCGTCATCTCCTCCTCCTTCTCCTTCATCTCCTCCGCTGTTTTCTCCTTCTCCTCCTCCGCCTTCAAGTCCTCCTCCACCTCTACCGTCATCTCCTCCTCCTTCTCCTTCATCTCCTCCGCTGTTTTCTCCTTCTCCTCCTCCGCCTTCCAGTCCTCCTCCACCTCTACCGTCATCTCCTCCTCCTTCTCCTTCATCTCCTCCGCTGTTTTCTCCTTCTCCTCCTCCGCCTTCCAGTCCTCCTCCACCTCTACCGTCATCTCCTCCTCCTTCTCCTTCATCTCCTCCGCTGTTTTCTCCTTCTCTTCCTCCTCCGCCTTCCAGTCCTCCTCCACCTCTACCGTCATCTCCTCCTCCTTCTCCTTCATCTCCTCCGCTGTTTTCTCCTTCTCCTCCTCCTCCGCCTTCCAGTCCTCCTCCACCTCTACCGTCATCTCCTCCTCCTTCTCCTTCATCTCCTCCGCTGCTTTCTCCTTCTCCTCCTCCTCCGCCTTCCAGTCCTCCTCCACCTCTACCGTCATCTCCACCTCCTTCTCCTTTGCCTCCTCCTTCTGTGTGACTACCCGTTCCTGTGTTGCCAGCACTCCTCCTTGTTGTTGGAGATTTTGGACGAGCGAGTCAATCCGATTCGGCTGAATATCTTTCAGGAATGAATATTCCTCGTACGCCAGCACGTCGGCAAACCTTTGAAGAAATACTGGAACCACTCGGATTGCTGAATAAGAACAAAACAAAGACCATTTTGATGACATTTTGTTCGATTTGCAAAATATTATTTTGACGTATAATAACAAAGCGATGTGCACTTTACCAGAACCGAATATTATTAGTATAATATATATAAATATATCTTTTCTACTCCTCAAGACTTGAATATTACTAGTATGAAATCACTCACGTTCAGCACTCATGATGATATTCACGAAGTAGCTATCCGATAGCTGTAAATCCGTATTAATATCGAAAACATATCTATTATGTGGAATTTAAATTCGGGACAGCGTATGCTAAGTAGCTTATGCTCTGCTTCATCAAAATAATAGCTGTATGTGTATATTATGTAGAGTTTAATACATATAACGTCTGGTACAAAGACCATGCAGACAAAACGTAATTGAACTTGAATTCGGCGTAATATTCATAATTGAATTACACACGCCTTTAAGACTAATACTCTTTTCACACTGGTTTTGCTTAACCCCGTACTTTGCTTAGCCCCGTACTATCCTTAACCCCGGACTATTTTTTTGGCTTTTCACACTCGCTTATTTTAGTCCCGTACTAGCGCCTATTCCGGAATAAGAAAATTCCCGCTGTTCTCACTGCATTTCGTTAACCCCGGATATCATGTATGTTATGATACTTCGCATCTGGCCAGCTGCGATACGCTCCATTGCGTAGTACCGGACTATTTTTCGTTTCTGTTCTCATTTATTTGCTTAGCACCGCAATTGCGGGGTTAGCAGGAGTTAGCACCACAATTGCGGAGTTAGCCCTGCTATTTTGCAGGGTTAGTTAACCCCGTACTATAGGTGGGGTTAGCCAACTTTAGCCCACTTTGGTAAAAACCAGTCAGAACAGAAAGTGGAATAGGCTTAACCCCGTACTATAGGTGGGGCTAAGATCCCCCTTAACCCCACCTATAGTACGGGGTTAAGCAAAATATTGCCAGTGTGAAAACAGTATAATACTGCTTTCTAACTGGGTTCTATCGTAGTCACACCGATGAAAATACCGATTGAATTTTCCTTATGTAAACAAAGGTGAAACCGCAGTTTTCCCCTGTCGTTTTCTAACTGCCGGTGAAATTCACTCGCTGTGGCGAGCCCTTGCCGGAAGTGAAGAATTATTGCGTAATTATTAAGCCCACGCTCCATCTAGCTAGCCATGCATCATGTTCAACCAGACAAACGGGGGTGTACCGCTCTAATGGGTAACTTTGTCTCAAAAATCCCCAAACATGGGTCTCATTTTTAACAATACTGAACACCTCTAAATATGGGTCCGCCTTTTCAAAATTTTCAAAATTATTATTTTTTTGAAAAATGGGCTTTACTTCGGAAAAAATCCGCCAAAATGACCCTTACAAATGGGTAGGGGTTTCGAGGTCAGTGATTTTACAAGTCAAAATGGGTCATTGGGTGAAGTCAGAAGAAGGTTGTAAGAAATGAGAAGTCATTGGGTGAGAAGTCATCGGTTGCAGCTTCCTGGTTAATGCGATTCATAATTTAATTTGAAAAAGATCCGCGAAAAAATGACATTATGATGGCTCTCCACATGGATAAATGCATGTAAATTAGCGATATCAATTATATTTCATAAATCGCCATTGTCGGGTAAGCGTACCTCCGACCACTCTCTACGCCGCGCCCGCCGGCCTGGATAGGCGACCGCCTGCTCGGTGCTAGCATGTTAAAGGTACAATGTCCCATTTGCAGGCCACACAAATGAAAAGGTTAAATTCCAACGGAATTGGAAAGATAATACTAATTTAGAACTTCCCTAAAAAAAAAGGAGGCTTGAAAATGTTTAAAGTGGGGCAAATAACGACTATTATTTGTCGAATCGACTTAGGAGCTAAAGAGCCAGTAAGGAATGGTCTGATTCAGACCATTGTACCGATGGTCGTCCGTTTTATGCTGCGCAAAGATTCAATCAGTTTAATTTTGGCCATTACAGGAAGTGGGTTATTGATGTAGACAAAATGGTCATGATTGTACCCTTTACGGCTCATTTTATGTATGCAATTATTACCAAAGATGAAAAGAAGCCAGTCAGTCACTCAATAGTGTCTGACATTGAAGTCTAGCAAATAAACGGGTTTCCTTGCATAATTTGAATAATTATGAGGACACTGCTTACGTTTAAATCTCACAGATAGGACATAGTATTACATGACATCATCATAATTTTTGCAAAGTTCTACAGAATTTGATGTTGGCTGCAAACGGGACATAGTATCTTTAAGGCCCTTCTGCCAGCCGCACAATGTTCATCGTACTCACATTAAGGCCCTTCTGTTAGGCAAGCGACCTAATTTCCTTTTACTTTACAATGATTACAGAAATAAATAAGAAAGATTCATTGTAAAGCAAAAGGAACTTACATTCTATCACCGAGCGGCCGGTCGCCTCTCCAGGCCGGTGGGCGCGGCGTAGAGTGAGGTCGGAGGTACGCTTACCCGACAATAAGTGATTTATGAAATAAAATATTGATATCACTAATTTATTGACATACATTTATCCTTGTGGAAAGCCATTTAAACAAAACCTTCGAGGCTCAAACTGTAGTATACCATTATGCACACTAAAGAACAAAGTAATTAAGTGAGTGTGTTTTGGCGGGAAAGTATTGAAAGAGATGAAGAGATTACAATGCAAGAATAAAAACAGAGAATAATATAAGGAAAGATAGAGAGAAAATGATAGAATTATTAAGACAAAGAATAACAAGATGATAGAAGGAAGAAACGAAGAATAACATAAGGAAAGACAGAAAGAGAAAGTGATAGAATGATAAAAACAAAGAATAACATTCTGTGATACGGAAGTAAGAAACGAAGAACATCATAATGAAAGACAGAAAGAGAAAGTGATAGAATGATAAAAACAAAGAATAACATGAAAGAAGGAAGAAACGAAATATATTCCGGTCTAAACGTTGACCAACAACCTTTTTCACTGAAGTTGAAAGAATTTCCAAAAGTTTTCGTTTTGTGCTCGGTATACTTCTACAGTTCCGCTTGAAAAAAAATGCATGAGTTTCTTTAACAGCATTAGTTAACGGATAATCATTTTATCGATAGTTTATCTATTTTTAAGCAACACAATTTTCTAAAATATTCTGATCATTGTCTTCGAATATTATTCAAATCATGCACGAGCCTGTCCATATAGTTTCTGTACCGCTTAAAATGTGCTTAGTCGTAATGGTAATTGTGTGACTCTTTCTTTCCAGTATCTGTACCAGTTTTTTTAATGTATAGGATTTCCCGGCCAAATTCGTGTGTTTGTCATTCGAATTCATTTACTTTGCATTTAAGTTAGCGCAGATCGGCTTTGCCATGCCAATTATCATTGAATTTTCCAGTTTTTGTATTTAATTTAGGATTTTGGTCGAAGGGTTTCATAGATCTGTCATTCAATTTAGAAACTGCTCAACTAGCATTCAAATTAATATTCACTTGTCGAAGCGTAATTTTTATCATTCAAATTAACACCTGTCATTCGTATTCATAATATTTTTTATTCAAGTTAGGAATGTTAGGGGGAAGAATTACAACAAACTTTTACAGTTTTTAAATAATGCATGATTTACCGTTGGGGTCTAAGCTGTTATTCCATTTTTTTTTTTAAGGACAATGCAGATGGGTGTAGTCAGACATAAAGTAAAGAAGGGGCGAAATCAAGGAATATGGCATTTCTGCACGGACATGTTCATATACCCGGGAAAGGGGGGGGGGACCCTCAATCGCCCCTTTTTACTACAGACTCAGAATTTTACAAAAGTAATTCACATCGTCTCTTATACCCAGCAGACCCCTCTGTTTTTCTTAAAGAGTTTCATAGTTTACTTGCCCGCCAGCAGATCGATGGCTAAAGACATGGCTAAATAATGAATCATGTTCAAATTGTTGACTCTAGTCCCTACCCCAGTCACAATATTGTACCCTTCTTCCATAATGAAATTATGATGAAATTATGATAAAGTTATGATGAAACATAAGACAAACAACTTCCTTACATGAACATTTACAAATATACTGAGACCATGTCAGGTCCGTAGATGCAAGTCGTTTTTTTCTTCTTAACAATCAGATAAATCTAATAAGTATAAGTGTATAAATGCAAGAAAATGAAATATGAAATACACATGAAAAAACAATCTTGAAAGAAAAAGAATGAGCTATAAAAAGTGTGTAATAAACGAGAAATGTATATTGACCATCAATTTAAATGCACAAGGTGCTAATTTGAATGCTACAAATGAATTAGAATGATATAAGTACACCGTCGCGTTGTCAGAAAATCGTGTTGCGCCAAATCGAATGACCAAATAGCGAAAGAAGCACATTGTTCATTCATTTGAATGAAACATACGTAGATTCTAACGAAAATTCCATAGATTTGAAAACTAGAAAAGGGAATATAAACCCGAGATATACCTGACTGCACTAAAACCCAAGCGCGTAGCCAGGATTTCATTTTAGGGGGGGGCGGTAGTGAGCACGCGAAGCGTGCGAATCTCTTAAAGAGCGCGCGAAGCGCGCTCCCTAGGGGGGTGGGTGCAGGGAGGGGGGGAGATTCCCCCCTCCCGCGCGAAGCGCGAAAGCTTTGAAAGAAGACGATTCGTTGTACCTTTCTCGACTCATAATCCTTGTCTGAATTCAGTCCCTCCCCTCTCTCACGCGAAGCTTTGACGTTTCATTAAATTATTAGAGAAAGAAGACGATTCGTTGTACCTCTCTCGACTCTTAATCCTTATCTGTATTCAGTCCCTCCCCTCTCTCACGCGAAGCTTTGACGTTTCATTAAATTATTAGAGAAAGAAGACGATTCGTTGTACCTCTCTCGACTCTTAATCCTTATCTGTATTCAGTCCCTACCCTCTCTCACGCGAAGCTTTGACGTTTCATTAAATTATTAGAGAAAGAAGACGATTCGTTGTACCTTTCTCGACTCTAATCCTTGTCTGAATTCTGTTCCCCCCCCCCCCCTCTCGCGCGAAGCTTTGACGTTTCATTAAATTATTAGAGAAAGAAGACGATTCGTTGTACCTTTCCCGACTCATATTTCTTAATTTGAACTCAGTTTCCCCCTTCCCGCGCGAAGCGCGGAAGCTTTGACGATTCATTGTACCGTTCTCGACTCCTTTTCCCTTTTTCTTCCTACGTCCTCTTTCTTTTTTTTCTTCTCTTTCTCTCTCTTTTTTTTTTGGTCGGCGTTTTTTTGGGGGGGGGGGGGGCGACCGCCCCCACCGCCCCCCCTGGCTACGCGCCTGCTAAAACCGTCGAATTTAAACGCAAGACAAATTAATTTGAATGACAAACTCGCGAATTTGGCCGGGAAATCCTATAATAGGAAACAGGCCTAAAATACCCCCCAAAAAGGAAAAACAATATCACATCACCTCACAGGAAGTAATCAGATGTACTGCCGTCAACTTGTTCCTGTCCTAATACCTCAAAGTAATAAAAACAAGGAATAACATAAGAGAATGTTAATAACATGCGGTGAATAATAACACGGAATAAAGAGTTTTAAAATAGTTTCTCTTTCCGTTAACTTGTTCCTGTCCTAATACCTCAAAGTAATAACATAAGAGAATGTGAATAACATGCGGTGAATAATAAACAACACAGAATAAAGACTTTTAAAACAGTTCTTTCCTGCATGACTCCGCATGATTTTTTATTTTTTAACTTATAAATCCCTCTCATTATATTGTATTTTGTATGAAGACATCAGCTTCAGAAACGACAGATAATTTCAACTTGTTTGGAACTTGTTTGGACAAGGTGCATCACTAATAGTTGAATGAAATACATTCTCCCCAAAATTGCTTTCTTTATGTTTTTTCAACAACTCTGTTACAACATTAGCAAATTATCGTTGAATCGAGATGCCCCTTTTTTCGGTAAAAATGATTTCAGAACTTTTCATGTATCGATCCGATTTGTACATTGCAATAATTCAATCATACAGTGTTGCTTTTTGCTTTTTGATAGCGTAATTATGTAACCCTATTTCTTAAACGTCTATACTCTGCCCATAGCTCATGTTATAACCTTGCTTAACAATATAGCTTTCTTTCTTTCATAATAGTGTTACACTTGTCATGACTTTCTTGTTATGTTTCTCTATCTTGTGTCAGCATGGTCAGCATCCCATCGATAGCTCAGCCTTTGGTAGAGCGGAGTACTGTAGACGTAAAGAGCATTGATATCCTTAGGTCTCTGGTTCAAATTCGGCTCGACGGATGGGAATTAGATTTTTGGTTTGTTTATTTTTTTTATATAATTTGTTTGTTTAGGTTTATGCCATCGGTGCTAAGTGCTTATTTGATTGTATCCATATTTTTAATTTGTCAAAGTGTATTTTAATCATTATATACTTATGATGATGCATGCAGTAAGCATTTTGTGGCGTTAAACAAGGTTCTTTAGAAAAGCGTTGTTTTACCTTTAGGAAAAGAAAAGAAAAACACATTTTGATTGAAAGTTGACAGTGTGAAAAAAGACGATCATTTTTATAAGATTTTTTTTTCCTTCTTATTGATGTTTGGTATCTAAAATGAATTGATACCATGGGTCATTTAAAAATGCACAGATCGTATTCCATTATTTTGAAGTTTAATGATCCTCATATAATTATGTATTGGGGGGGGGGGGTGTTTCACAAACACTAAGATCGACTTTAAGTTGGACTTAACTATGGCAGGCCGTTCATGCCACTGTTTGCTCTCACCTTTTACTGGCATTGGTCTCTCAAGGGATGTACACAATCATGGTCACAAATCTACAGAATTTACATTTTTGATAATTTATCATTGAAGAAGAAAAAAAATATCTAAAGATCATAAAAGTGAGAGCAAACAGTGGCATGAACGGCCTGCCATAGTTAAATCTAACTTAAAGTCGATCTTATTCTTTGTCAAACACCCCCAGGTATATTAAAGGTGATCTAATCTGTGCTGAGCAGTCAGCTTTACGTCGAAAGCTCAGTAATGTTGGTCGCTGGTTCAAATCTAGCTCGACGGACATTCATCGTGCAAACATGTTGGTAAAGTGAGTAAAAGGGTGACTTTAAAAGTTTCAATGGAACTTGACTTGAATTTGTATACCTCTTACAAAGATATGATCTTATTTTGTACTTGCATTAACCCCTCCCACCCCTCTCTCTCTCTCTCTCTTACTCTCTATTTTCTCCCTCCATTCCGTTCCTTCTCCCATTTTAAATTTTCTGACCAAATTCTTGTTCTCTCCTTTTTCCCAGTCCCTCTTCTATTTTCCTAAATCATCTCTCTCTCCCTATCTCTCTCTCCCTCTCTTTGAATTCTCTATTTCTCGTCCGCCCTCCTTTCACTTAAACATTACATTAATTTTTTATGTATACTTGAATATTCAAACACGATTGCAACTACTTTCAATAAAACAACCTGACGTGATTTCAATAGCTTTGTGTGTCACCTCCTGGAATGTGCGAACATGACGATGAGGGGGGCGTTTCACAAAACTTGTCATCAGTGACAAATGACATTTTTTGTTATAAGCTACTGACATCCTTGCTTCTTATTGGTTATCAACAGATTTGTCACTGATTTTTGTCATTTGTCCGAGGTATTACGTAATCCGAACATGATTTCGGATGTGCAATGGGGCATTGAAATTGCCCTTGAGTTGATTTTCGGAAACAGTTGAGATCATTTTCTTTTTACATACAGTGCGTCCCAGAAATTTGTTTTCACTGGCTGCCTGCCGTAGCGACGAGCAGAATTGACAAAAAGACTTAACTCCATTTCGTTGACAATCAGCCATGCATGAAGTCTTTCAGGAAAAATAAGCAAGGAACGACAAAGTTCTGTATGTTTAAAGTAGTGCTTGCATTTCCATAATTTCATCAAACCGTCGTTTTCACTGGCTACCTGCCGTAGCGACAAGCAGAATTGACAAATGACTTCCGTTTCGTTGACAATCAGCCCTGCATGAAGTCTTTCGTCTACGGCTGATTGTCAACGAAACATAGTTAAGTATTTTGTTTATTCCGTTTGTTGCTACGGCAGGCAGCCAGTGAAAACGAATTCGTTTAATGAAATTATGGAAATGCAAGCACTATTTTAAACAAAGTTATTAACAGAACTTTATTATTCCTAGCTCATTTTTCATTACTAAGGTGTCATATGAAAGGGCAGAAACTCAAATTTCTAGAAATGTAATTTTCTCTTTCAGATTCAGATATCGTCCGCCAAATGACTTGTTGGTTTCCTCTCTTCAAATTCATTTTAATCACCCATGCGTGAAATATGCATTATGAGTTGCATCAAATGATAGAAGAGGGTCTAAGCTTTACAAATATGTGTCATCTATCAACTATAATTGTGATTAAGTTATGATAAAACATCGATAATTCTCGGTTTCGTTTTTTCTGGAACGCACTGTATATATATCTTTTACATTCATACAAAATTATAATTTGCTGTCATTTATATCATAATTTTCAAAAGAAAAATGGATAGTCTAATCAATTATAAACTTAATCAAATCTCTACAAATGAGAAACAAACCACACATAAGCATTTTACAAAATCTAAAGTTTATTGTTGCATTGATGACCAAGATTATCAAGACAGCAATAATATTCGCAAAATGAAATTAGGAATCCCTGATGTTTCATTCTTTTGCTGAATAAAACAATAGCCTCCAGAACTACTATGATGGCATATCCACTGTAATTAACAAACATTTCCTGGTGAATATGATTTCGGGAGTACCGCCGACCCTTTTAATCTCACTCAGGGCTTTTTGTGGGAGAGAGTTCGATGGGAGGAAGAAATCCGAACAAATGCAACACTTTTCACAATCTGGTAGAATATTTTGGCCAACAACAGGGGAGAATCGAGGGGTAGGGGTGGATATATACAAATATATTATGTAGTTTTTCAAATTAGAAAGTGGACAGCTGTGGCAATAATCTCGAAACTGGAGGTAAATCATGATGATTAAAGTCCCCCCCCCCCTCAAGAAACTAGTCAAGAGAGGCCCATTAGTTTACGTTAATCAATACAATACGGCGTTTCGTCGTTGGTCACCAAATAAAACTTTCCCGTAACCGCGGTATTCAGGTCCGCGCGATAACCCATGATAGCGCAACCGCCCGTTCCGCATTGATCACCGCAGGTTCCAGCCTGATACCGTGCCCAACTCTCGCACGGCACCGCGGTAAACTCACAGGAGAGTGACCGCACAGTGTCTGCAAAGAGTGTGAGAGCACGGAGATGGCTGCAGCCTGACCAGAAATCGACGTCTCCGCATCCCGGCTGACGACGGGCGCCGTTAGGATAGAAATCCTGGTGTCCAAGCTGTAAAATGAAAGATAACGATAAAAGATAACAAATCGTGTGTGTTTAGGCTCACGTTTGAGACTTGAAGGTCGCCTTTTAATAAGAACATCTTTGTAGGTCGTATATTAGACTAAAATCTTTCTCAGAACGGTTCCTGGTTTTGACAGATTTGAGTATCGGCTATTGTTTTATTCAGACAGATTTTTCGTCATTAGGCGACGAGGAAATGAGAGAGAGAGAGAGAGAGAGAGAGGAGGGGTGGGGTGGGGCAAAGAAGTTGTTATTTGAGAGTGAGGGTATAGGCTATGACACACCCAATTCAACATTTTCCGGGAGCTCCATAAATTGTCCTTAATGTCGAAATATTTAACCCTTGTCGGGAAATTTCCTAGACAAGAATCAAAATATTACCCCTTATAAAAATGGTTCGAGCGTTTCCCCAAAGGAACGGGAGTTGAAGGGATTGGGTTGGCGCCTGAAATTTAGAACATGACTATACCAGGAAAATGAACTACTTACCTGCATCATCTGACCGAGTCCTGTCCCATCATTTCCATCTGTATGCATGACGTCAACAAAGATGGCGTCGGTAGGATCGAGACGGCACTCGGGTCCGTTGTCGCGGAAGTCGAAACCTTCGTCGCGGAAATTCGGACCTGCTGGGTCTAAACCTATTTTAAAAATTTAATCAATATTATTGTGTAGAAAAAGGAAAATCGCATAGCCTTTCAAGAAATCGTTTTAAGGAAAACTTGAATACCCTAGTATTGGATTGCCAATAAAAATCATGTCCGGATTACCGAACGTTTTTATATAAAAAGTAATGCACAAGGCTATTGAAATTGCCTTAGTTTGATTCTTTGAAGTTTTGACGATCGCGATTGAAAAGAGGAAAATGGGATTTAAAAATATATATATATATATATATATATATATATTAACTGATTTTTATGTCAAGGCTCTTTCATGGACTTTCTACGCTGTATCGCAACGAGGAGCGTGACTTTGCAAGTCACGTGTGTTCATTTATGCAGAACTCGTCTCGTTATCGAAGGGCAAACAATTGAAATACAAGTATTCATAACAGGTGAATGAAATATGAATTTCTAACGAGGCACTTCACAAAGGTTTGTGTATTAAATATGATTACATTGCGAAAACGGTCTGTTATCGCTGGAGCCTGTAGGCCTAACCGATTTATGCTTTACCTGTGATGCGTGCGATTCCGGGCAAGAATTCGCCAGCATACCCCATGACATGCGCGCCAAGACTCATGCCGATGAGATGGAGATCGCGGTAATACATGCCGGTCTCGAGGTTGAGGAAGCGGGCTAGTAACCCGATCTCTCGCCCGACTACCCGGGTGTTCTGATGGCATTCTCGGTAAGGGCCCTGAGCGCCTTCGCTCCAATCGACTAGGATGACATTCAAATCGTACTGGAGAAAGATATTAATTAAGCAAATCAATGTCTATAAACACAGATATAACACAAACGGCCAAAAGTGTACTGTTGAAAAGGTAGAACAATCCCGCCCCCACTCTTTTTGAAAGCACCCCCTATCTGAGGACTGCCAAAATTTCTGGATCCCCCTTTCGCGGGCTTTTCGAGGGCTTTCCCTGCCTTGGAAACCCCCCTAGATCCGGAACACTGCCCACCCCCAACACCCCACTTCAGTAACCTAGAAAAATAAATCAAATGAGTCTTTACAGGCGCGTACGCAGGGGGGGGGGGGGGGGTTAAACCCCCCCCCCCTTGGTATTTTTTATATGTGTATTTTGGAGGAACAAAAAAAACCCTTTGGTAATTTGTTTTTTGTTTTTGTTTTTGTTTTTTTTTAATTAAGAAAAAAAACAAAAAAACAAATTATACAAATGGCTGACTTAAAAAAGTGTCCCCCCCCCCCCGCTTATTCAGCGGCTGGCTGAGTTGTTGCGATTTTTCGGGGACAAAACAAAAAACAAAAAAAGTGTCCTCTTACCCCCCCCCCCCCCCCCCCTTGAAAAAATCCTGCGTACGCGTCTGAGTCTTTATGTATTAACCATAGAGATATATACTACTAAACACTTATTAAGTATATATCTCTATGGTATTAACCTACTGTTTCAAGGAGAGCATCTTTCTGGTCCTGTTCGAGGACCCTGAAGGCATTCGCCGTGTACCCGTGTACCGAGATCTTCGTCTTCTTTATCGGATCGTAGTTCGACGCTCGAAGTCCGGCGACATCCCCCCGTATGAGCTCCTGAGGATCGAACCGATTACGTCTCGTATAGAGGAAGAACCGGGTGTTGATGAGGGCTGGTGACCGGGGTGGGAAGCCGTAAGCATGACAGCCAGCACCGGTGAAGCATCCGACATCGTCAAAGCAAACTTCCTCGGAGGAGGCTGTATCGGGTTTGGAAGCACTATTAATTGTTTATGATCCTGTTTCAGTATTTTGTCCTATTAAAGATAAACTTGAGTTCTGGTAATGCGATTGCATTTTGAAAGAAAAGGTGTGGAATGGATCAGCAAAGTTGATCATATAGCATGCAAGTAATGGTGTGTAATGCAAGGTTCTGGAGTCATCAAAATCATCATAAGTTTGGCAGAGTCTTGGTAAAGTAACAACCACTTACAGAAAGATGTATATGGGACAACACACATGGTGTCAGGGCTAGTATACTACCCTGATTTCCTTATCTTTCTATGCTCATTACTCAGCCAGTATACATTTTCTTCCAAAATTGTTTGGCACATGACATTTAGTTGTAATCTTGAACATTCAGTGTAAGTTTCGTTAGATTCTGTGAGAATTCATTTTCTTTTTTTTTTTACCAGAACTCAAGTTTATCTTTAATATAACTGAATCATTTTAAGATAACTGGCGTTCTGGTGTCAATAATGTAACTTTGAACAAAATTGAGTCCTGAAATTTTTAGCATGACAGTTCATCTATTATGTTTACAAAACTCACCATATGTGTGTGAAGCAGGGTGGGGGGGGGGCTGGTATAGGGGGTTCCAGTCCAAGATCAAATTTGTATTTGGGCGATGACAACTTCATCAATTTGGGCAGGTATGTGATCTGTTGTGATTATTAGCTTATCTAGTCGACCATGAAGAATTCAATTTATTCTGGCAAGAGGCAACAAGGCCCTTTCGAATTTGAGCTCTTGATTACGCCGAGGGTCACGAATATTCTCGGGAAACATGCAACAATATTAGTCCAATCAACGTTAAGGTACAATGACATCCAAAAAAAGAAGAAGTGATAAACAGATGTTTTTTATCACTTATATATTTATTTACATTTATAATATCCCGTGATGAAGCAAAGTATAATACTGTAGAATCATATTAAATGGCACTGGCCGGGGCAGTATTTTACTGCTCCAAATAGCAAACATATTCACAACCTGTCAAATTAGCTTCATAGAAGTGTAGTTGAAAATTTCAGTGCCATCAGACTTTAACGGCAATGGCATACACATGCGGTATACATGTCAGCCAATCTATAGAAGAAAAAAAACTATCTATAACCTTCTTGAAATGCACAAATATTGAGTAAACATCAAAGCATTATAACTGAGGTTCGATATTTTGTTCTATATTCTGTATCATAATAATATTTACCTTGTCTTGAAACTGCACCGACCAAAATCAATATCACATATATAAACTCCATGACCAGGTACCGACTTGAAACTAAAATCTTTATCGAAATGAATTTACAATTCGAATAAAACATGAATTAACCGCTCTTCCGTCTGCCCTCTATTCCGATTAAACATGTCAATGTATTATGGATATAAATGACATAAGAATTACAAAACCTTCCAAGGATTGATGCACGAATATTTTGACCTTTTAATAGCAAGTATAGTGTGTGAATCAATTATTCCACACAGCTGTTCTAATAAGATAAGAAGAAAGGGATTAAAGCTTGCGTCATTATATCAAGGCACAGTGAGGCTATCTGTAGAATCATCCGGAATGATATGTTTTTTTATTATGATTGCTTACTATAATGATGATAATATTGTTAGTAATAAAAATGATAGCAACACAATCAATAATAACAACAACAGAAATAATAATAATGATTAATGAAAAGATTTTTTTTTTTTAAATGATAATAATAATGAAAATAATGATAATAATAATGATAATAATACTAATATTTTTAGCATTAATACTGCTCTTCAATGCAATTATCATTATCCCACGCTCCCTCTACCCATGTAATACTCCTGGAGAGGGATAAATGCGAGAAAAACAGTTACTCGTCTAAGAATGTAAGCAGCCAGTAATAATCGAACCTAGGAACTTTCGTTTGAGAGTCTTCCCAATATACCGCTGAGTGTTCTCGCTCAAAAGTTATTTTGAATAGAGCGAAGAAACATGAAACATGGGTTTATGATATTACTCCGAATGGCCAAAGGTCTTTTGTGTGTGTGTTTTGTTGTTGTTGTCGTTGTTGTTGTTGTTTCCTTTTCTTTTTGTTTTAATGATAATTCTCCATCTTCAGGGGTAGTACTATGCTTTATTTAAAAATTATAATCATAATATATACAAAGGATTGTTAGATTGTTTTGAAATATACAAAATCATCTATATAACTTTAAAATTGTTTTTCTGTGTACTGTTTTTGATAAATTAGAAAATGTACTAATGAAGTTTTGACTTGTAACTGATTTAACTTCTGAATGATGTAATTTGTGTTAACTTTGTTTTGATTTGTACTACTTCTGTTTGGGAAAATGAAACATTTCATAATGTCGGTCCGATTGGAGTCTGTGTGACGGAGGTACGATGTCTTTCAATCGAGACAAGCCAGCCTGAAACCTTAGTCCCAGGGCTCTGGGATGCAGTATGGAGATTCAGGGTTTGTATCCAGGAAAAAGAGTCCCCGCAGGTCCTTGTGGTCTATCGCATGATACCCCATCTCGGAGCAGCCCCCGACCCCGCAACTCCGGCATAACCCACTCATGTACGCCGCCCAGCTCGGGCACGGGTAAGCCTTGAATTTGCAGGTGGTGGATCGGAGGCTCTCGGCGAAGTAGCGGGAGGAGTAGGCGTGGCTACATCCGCCCAGGTCGCTGCCGTATTGACAAGCAGGTTGGTGACGCCCGCCGTTCGGGTAGAAATCTTGATGTCCCATCTGTATGTTTGATGGTAAATTAAAACGCCCTTAGTTACATTGTGATTTATACGATAAACCTTGATGATATATTTTAGTCTTAAGATGTTTAGTATGTACCAATTTTTATTTTCAAATCTCTTTCAGACCATTTTCTAGAAAGGAGTCTTTCTAATCAAGTTTGGGTTCCTCACCAAGATTTGAAATATTTTCGACTAGGGTTTAGACATGAGAAATATTTCATGTAGTGACCACCCCCTACCATGGTGGTGGATCCAGCAGGGGGGGGGGGGGGGGGTGCCCGGGTCCCCACCCCTGGGGGAAAAAAACTAGTAAAAACAATTTAATTTTACCTTTTTTTATAGATGGGCCCCTCCCCTGGTGCTCAACAAGGGGGGGGGGTGCGATTTTTTTGTGATTTTCAATGAGCGAATTATCGGCCGGCTGTTTCGCCGCTAAATATTTTCTCACGAATTGGGCCCCCTCCCCTGCCGCCGGCTGGATCCGCCCCTGCTCTACCCCCCACCCCCACCCCCTACCCCATGTCGGCACATCGATACACCCCCGCTCTTCCTTCTAGTGACTCCCAACAATTCTCATTATCATGATATCATCTTTAACTAATATCCGATACTGGCACTGTTACAATTAAAATCATATTGCAGGTAATCGAGCCAGTAAAAATCCCTGTTTCCCATCCATCTGACAATGTAAAGGGCATATCAACAGTGGCGTATCATGGGTCCTCTTAACTATGGGGCACTTCTGCATTATGAAAGTACGGGGCGGGATTATTGGATGGATGAAAATAATGCGAGAGAACGAGCCCATAGCTACAGAGGGGGAAGTGCATCATGAATTACCTATTTTCAATTTCAATTTTTTTTTCCAACAAAACATTACGAATCAATCATAATCATTTACCGATATTAAGGGAAACATATTGGAAACAGAGGGGTCCACTAAAAAGCAATGTTTTCATGTTGCCTTTCCCCTTCCCTTTCCCCCCTCTTTTCTTTGCCCTTTAATTTTGCCATTCAATAATATTACTGGGGGCGAGGAGGGGGAAGTAACCTATTGTCCGCCTAGCTACGCCCCCGGGGCTACTCCTTTGCACATGAACTCCCCCAATTTTTTTATTGTAAAAATTGATAATAACCCTACCGGAAGTGATGTTCCCAGACCGATGTTGTCGTTACCATCGCCATGAATGACGTCAACAAAGAGGGCGTCAGTGGGATCTAGACGACATTCCGGTTCGTCATCACGGAAAAACGGGCCCGCAGGATCGGAACCTTCATGTATATAAGGGCACAAAGGATGAAAGATGATTGAAAAACAAAACATATCTGTATGGGAACATTTTTACCGACCCAGGGATGGGGGGGGGGGGGGGGGGGGGGGGGGTTGATGTATTTTCCCCGAATGTCAGCTTTTGTCATAAATTTGTCATAAAACAACAGTTTTTTCTTAAGTGTAAATATTGTGGTTCAATTTTTTTATTACACTATTCAATTTCATTGTAAATCAACCATTATGAGTTCCTGAATTTAAGTGTTGACGTTTTTAAACCGAATAAATAATACAAAAATATAAATGAATAGATCAAAAGTAGTAAATATGCCAACTCTACACTGTGAAAAGGTTGGGCAATATTTTCCAACACTTTGCCAATAGTCAACCCAACCATCTATAGGGCAACATTTTCGTATTTTGCCCAACAGTTGGTCAAAATTCGAAACAATTATGCACGTGTGAAGAAGGGTACTTACATTTACCAATACCACTGGGCAAAATATTGCCCAATAGATGGTTGGGTTAACTTTTAGCACAACGTTGGGCAAAGTGTTGAACAAATATTGCCCAAACTTTTCACAGTGTACCCGGATAAGGATTTGAATTTTCTCCTGACCTGTTATTCTGCCAAAGCCTTTTTGATAGGCGCCAGCATAGCCAGCCGTGTGTGCCCCGAGACTGTGGCCCACCAGATGAACATCCTTGAAGTACATGCCAGTCTCCAGGTTCAGGAAGCGAGCGAAGAGGGCAATCTCGCGCCCCACCACCCGAGTGTTCTGGTGCTGTTTGGGGTAAACGATCCCACTTGCCCCCCTCCGCCAGTCCACGGTGATGACATTGACGTTCGCCTGTTGGGCCGGGATGAAGTTGAGACAAATTTCATGACTAGAGATCAACTTTGCCTTGATATCTGATGGTGGTGATGATGATGGTGAAACTTGTGATTATGATCACGATTATCATTGTTAATAATTATATGATAATAATTATTGAGATACGACGGCTTCGACGATATCGATGATGGCGATTACGATTAGGACGAAAATGATGAACATGACGACGACGACGAGGGCGATGATGATGATGGTAGTGATGGTGGTGGCACCTTTCAGTGGCATTGACGTTCGCCTAAATGCTACAAATCGTTCCTATTTTCACGAAGTGACGGTAGTGAGGAAAATCGTCAAGCAAAGTATATGCGATTTTCCTCACTACCGTCACTTCGTGAAAATAGGGACGAAATTTTGAATTGAAAAGGATAAGGTGGCTTGGTATGTTATGGCCCACTTAACGATATACGGCGGCGTCTGGTGGAAATGATGATGATTGTTTTTTATGGTGGTAAGGATGATGATGAGAATGATATTGATGATGCAAACTCTTATTACTTCGACGATGTTGACGATCAGGTAGATGACGAGTGGTGATGTAGAAGACCCCGGCGCTGTTATTGTAAAGAAAATGAAGGAGTAAGTGGTGGTACTGGTGACGGTGGTGTTGGTGGTGATGGGGGTGGTGGTGGCGGTGGTGGTAGAGGTGACGGTTATATTTTTTCGTATTATGCTGGTCGTATATCTGGCATTCCGTGTAATAATAAGGATGACGATAGATATACTGACGATAATAATAATGGAGTAGAAGGAAAAGGAAGAGAAAAGGGGGAGGAGAAAGTAGAAGAAAAAGAAGAAGAAGAACAAGAAGATGACGAAAATACCGATAATATATTCTCTCGTTCTTCTCTTCCTTCATCTATCTCTTCCATGTAATCCTTTTCTGTTCCCTCTCTCATATTACATAACTTCATTTTATACCCCCAAACATGCATGCCCCCCCCCCAAAAAAAGCATTCTCACATCTTCAAGGAACGCGTTCTTCCTATCCCTCTCTCCGCTCCCGAACCCATTCGAGTTCCATCCGTGGATCGAGAACATCGTCGGCACCTTCGGGTCAAAGTTCGACGCTCGGAGTCGGTCGACGTCATCTCGGATTAGCTCCTGAGAAAAGTTCCAGGTTCGACGTGTGAAGAGATAGAAACGGGTGTTGATGAACTCGGGGGATTCCGGCGGGAAGACGTTACCATGGCAACCCGCATCTTCAAAGCAGCCGAGGTCACCGTAGCATATTTCTGCTGCCTGGCCTGTTGGGATTTTAAGTGGAAAAGGGGTTTCAAGATAATTATACCTAAGATTTCTGAGTCATTCCTTCAACAAGTAAATAATAATTGTGTTATTGTTTTAATGACGTAATGTAGAATAACATGATACATGTATATATCATAATATACAAATAATACACAGCAGTGAGGGCATTAGTTAGAATTACCTACACGAGGTACCTTTGGACTCTCTCTCTCTCTCTCTCTCTCTCTCTCTCTCTCTGTTCGATTTTCTCTCTCCTCTCACATCGCTTCATGAGGGCGTTGCCAAGCTCCGCCCGATAAAGTGCGTTACTACCTTAGGATTAATATTGAATACAACTTGAGCATCGCAGTGTGGACATAAGATGCTGATTATCACAAGAAACAAACAAATACTTCAGTTCTGATGGTAAAGGTCAGTAGATGGTATCTGGAAGCAAGATATCAATATCTAGTTGCAAAGTTCATAATATGATTTCAAATCTATCTAAAAAGCGTATATTGTTAATTGGTTTTTGAATTTTTGCTGCCAATTGTACACTCGATGGCGTACGGGCCCATTTTTTGCTAAATGGTGCTTTTGCCCGAATGTTGGATGTCCATTTAAAAAAGATTCGAGCGATTAAAACAGACACTTTATTTTGAAAAACATGTTATGCTTACATCAAAATGCACTAGATTAGATATAAGAACAACACATTCGGACACCTCTTTGCCCGAAAGAAAGAATTTGTGGGCAACTTGCATCCTGAATATGGGATATAATTTCAGATCCCATCGGAACTCTTTTTAAATCATGGGGGGGGGGGGGGGGGGTAGTCTAGCACGTGGCCCTAACTCGCTTCGTACTCCAAGGACAATACTATAAATATAAAATTGTTTTAAGATAGCGAATGAAGGTGATACTGCACATTAGAAGACTATAGAACAGATGAAAATTAAAAAAAAAGGATTAAAAGTAAAGTAGTGGAAGAATAAGATTAACGCTAACATGGGCCGGGGAAATTAAATCGGATAATAATATCAACATAACTAAACACATTTTATATTGTAGGTAGTACTTTTGAGCAATAGTGGTTGTGAGCCTTGGAAAATACTAAAAGATCTTTCTCCCAAATGCCAATCATGCACATGTTGGTTATGTTTAAATCTGTATTCGTTGCAATTTACAAATTCTTGTTTGGCTAAAACAACCGCCGAAAAAGAGAGCCCCCCCCCAAAAAAAAAAGAACAATAATAATAATAACAACAAAAACAAACAAAAATTATAATAACAATAAGAAAGAATGTCGAATTGAGCAAAGTGATCAAACCTTAAGAATTGAAGGGTTCTGGTAGAGTTAAATCGAAAAAGCTTGTTCAAATAAGTATGGCAGCTACACAATTTCGCCTCGTACACATAAATCAATTTCGTGACTTCCACATTGAAGCTTAAATTTATTTTATTTAAATACAATATCATAATTTTATTCAATACTAATGCAATGACGAAATCACATTCACTCGCTTTACCCGCTCATAAAACTTAAAAGCAGGAAAATTAAAATTGGGGCAATTTTTGTTTGGCCCTCTGACGAAATTGAGCTCGCGCTTTCATTCATTAATGTATCAAGTTATAGATTCAGTAATTTTTAGTGCCATCTGATATGAAACATGTCAACGGAGAACCATTCATAAAAAACAACGATAAACCAGACTAGGCCATTGATTTCAAAATGCACATGAATAATCCCTTACGCAAACTTAAAACGGTGATGTTCGTTTCTAAGATAATAATAATAATAATAATACACAATATTTATTAGGCGCTTAATACGGGTGTCCCTAAGCGCACCATAGTCTGACTACAAAATTATTTACCAAAACTTATGATAAACACACAACTTATACATCTGTAAAAGAACATCATTAAAAGTGATGAAAACCTTAACGAGAGGATTTTCACACAATGAATGTAGATAAAATAATGAATATCGACCAAAATTACAGTACCCTTTTCGAGCAGGAAGCAGAGGAAAGCGATAAATATTGTTGAAGTCAAGACCTTCATTGTGCGTTTGGCTTGATTTTTGCCTTTTTTATGCAACTACTCCTGACATCCTTATTCCAGAGCAATCACGCTAATTGTTGTTTATTTATGATTATCGTTTCTTACGAGTGTAAGATTATCAAACTTATCTCACCAATCTGGCTTTGAGGGGACCACTTAATGGATCAAATAGACCAAAGTGTAGTGGAAAATGATAACGAGCAAAATATATTTAGCTGTCTCGAGCATAATTCCTTTGATTTCATGACAAACTTATCTCAGCATGTAAATATTGGGCCTACTTTATCCAGACAACGACCCCCAAGACTCGAATCCGTAGTGACCCCAAGAAGTTCTACGACTCGTGCTTCGATCGGCAACAATATCACTCCGCGCTCTATTTCCTACACTAGCTGAATGCTTTAAAGATAAAGTTGAGTTCTGGTCATGCGATTGCATTGTGAAAGAAAAGGTGTGGAATGGATCATAAAAAGTTGAGCATGGAGCATGTTAGTATTGGTGTGTACTGCAAGGTTCTGGAGTCATACAAATCATAATCAATTTGGCCCAGTCTTGGTAAAGTAACAAATGGGACTACACAAATGGTGTTGGGGTTACTTACCTTGATTTACTTGCTATGCTCATTACTCAGCCAGTATACAATGTTCGGCAAATGACATTTATTTGTAATCTTGAACATTCAGCGTAAGTTTCGTTTGATTCTGTGAGAATTCATTTTTTTTTTTTTTACCAGAACTCAAGTTTATCTTTAACCTCAACCATTGATCAAACACTGTACCTAACCTGACATCTCACCGCATACCTATCATTGAACATAATTCATAGAACATTTTGAGTTCCAGCAAAGGTGAAACCTAATTTATGAGATAACTCATTGTTTTTAAATGCCAGTTTGGGAGAACATCATAAAATAGAAACGTTCCATGACAAAGGATTGTTCTTCGATCACGAAAACTTAAAAAAGTTAAAGAAATAGACTTTGAGGCAATTCCAATACCCTTTCGTAATTTTCAAAGTAAGCATGATCTCATAACGTAATATAACTTTGAAATTTCTCACTTTAGGTGACTCACAGATTAATTGATTTGATTTGATAGATTGATTAGTTGAAGATCTATGTAATCTGATGTTTGGTTATTTCATATTGTATGCAATAAGAAACAGTCTTGCGCCCTCATCGACATGTTAAAAGAGATTGATTTTTTTTTTTTGAAGTCGCAGTTATATCCGTTTTACTTTGGAAAGAATTTTAGAAAGATTTAGGCAAACATATAGTTACATATCGTGAAGGAATTTAACGCTCTTCGTGTATTCTTTTGTAATTTTTTGAGGGGTGCCAATATTATCATTTAATCTCATAAGATAAAAATAATGATTTTACATGTAGTTGGTTGTTGTTGTTGTTGTTGGGTTTTAAGGCTGTCCAATCTGAAAAGATTATTTCCGTCTGTTTGTTTGTACATGTATGTATCTTGTAAGTCCCAAACACGTAAGGTTGCATCGTTAGAAAAGGTAATTCTGTACACAAAACGGAGAGTGTTACATCCGTCACTGATTGGGCCTACTTTTCAAATTATAAATACATTACACCCATCTGCATATGTGGTCCAAATAGGATAATAGACGTACTCTTGACGCCACGGGTCGGCTCGAGCAATTCAGCATTATAACACACACATTTCATTGATTCCTCGAATCTTCAGCGCCTTCAGTATAAGTGGACTAGGTGGAATGCAAATTGATATAACTATAATAATTTCTATTTCTATTTCTATTTCTATTTCTATTACTATTACTATGCCCTTAGAGGAGATACTCTCTGCGACAGCGGAAAGACTCAGACGATGGAACACATCTTGCAATGCGGCGGATCGGGTTGCACAGATGAAGACCTGGCCCTTAAAACGGCCATTGCAGCAATCGGGCGATGGAAAAACTAAATTTAATTTAATTTAATTTTAATTAAGGAACTTTACATAACTATCTTGATTTAAAGTGACACGAACGAACGAACGAACTATTGCCATTACCATTACCATTGCCCTCACCGTTATTACTACTATTACTACTACAATTGCTACATATGTATATATATTTCTATCAGTTATGATATTGCTGTTACTATTACTATTATTTGTCAGTTGCGCCGCTCCAAAGTTTTTGAATAACCTACCAATATACATAATAAATCCCCATCTATTGTTGTCTTTAAAGTTTTGATGAAGATACTTGTTTTCAGGAGTTTTGAATAGTTTGTTATTGTGTGTCCGTTAAGTAGTGTTGTTAGCAGTTCTGTTTTCATCACAACTATATAAATTGATCTGATCATTATTATCATTGTTATTATTATTATCATTATTATTATCAGTATTATTATTATTACTATTATTATTTGAATTATTATTACTAGTACTATTACGACCACTATTGAACTCTTGCTATTACACTTGGAATCAAATTGAAGTCTCATCTAATTTTAGAGCACCCAAGAACCCATAATGCACCACCAAAAGGAGCTGTAAGTTCAAGATACAATGAAGGTCAAAGGTTACCAGCAAAGCTCCTTTGGGTCTACTTAAGAGACTGCATGAATGAAATTGTCGTCAACACACATGTTCAATAATTTGGGTTCAAGCCTTGCCATTTGGACAGTTAACAAGGAATTCCTTGATCTTTGATAGTTCAGTAGGATAGCTAGTAGAAGTGATAACGTGAGATTGGAGACACGAGCTGAAAAGAAATACGAGTAATGGAGATTTAGAGATGGCAATAGATTGTGGTGATTTGTTATCTACTACCTTTTCTGGGATTTTTAAAAATTTATTCATGGACATTGTCTAAAATTTCCCGTAATACATCTAAGGGTTGCGGTGTTATGATATTTCTTTTCACTCGTTATTTTACAATTTCTTTGTACATTGTACATCGATAAGTTGATTCATGGTATAAAAGCAAACCAGTCCTGCCCCTCCCCCTACTAAAGCATCCACAACCCTCAAATAGATCTGTAATCCACGCTCTCGGCTGATCTCATCATGTCTAATGGGTCGAGGGCTGTGTAGTACCTACAACCCGAAATGAAATGAATCGAATAGCCTGTGAGTAGTAATAATAATAATAAAGACGGTGGCTCAGTGGTTATAGCGCCCGCCTCAAGAACGGGAGGTCGTGGGTTCGAACCCCGGCCGAGTCATACCAAAGACTTATAACAATGGGACCTTCTGCCTTCTAGCTAGGCGCTCAGCATGTTAGATTGGAGAAGGGTAGTAATAACATATTATGTTGTGCAGGGCCCGCTGGAAGAGCAGTTTTATAACTGAAGTGGCTACACTGGGTAAATAAAACGTTATTATTAGTATTATCATAAAAGCGCTTACCACCGAAATCTCTAAGCGCTACAGTAAGAACTATATCGTTTTATGTGTTAGTAGAAAAGATGTCAAATTTCCTTCTTTTTGTTTGTTCTTTTCTAAGAAATAAAAATGGTAAAGGTGTTTATCTTCATTTCTCATCTTTCTGCTGTTTCTGCATTTACGCTTTAAATTCATTTTGTAGCGAGGCCAATCATGAGGATGACGAGGGTGATGAGGGACTGAGGATAATGATGAAGATTGAAGAGGATGATGATCATCACATGATCATCATCATGAAGATGATAAAGAAAACATAATAATTACCACGATATTTTACCTTTGTATAATTATGAGGGCCGCATGTCCAGTATACAACCACCTTCGAATTGGTCAATGAATCAATGACCCTAAGTCGCAAATAGCAAAAATCACAGATGCTGTAAAGACTGTTATGTTACATGTTGGCGAGGAAGTGGGCTGTCTCTTCGGCCATTCCCATACCCTCTTCACATTCATTACGAGTTAACTGTACCTTTAAGATTAGTCTTGACCTCATCGTCTCAAGTATCCTGTTAACGAGCCAAACGTTTGCTTGGAATTAACCGCTAACGACCTTATGCCTCTCTCTCGCGCCACTCAAGGGGCAGGCAGGTCCAGGGTCGCCCTTTTAGACCGGTAAAATCATTGTATAGGGCCCTCCTTGTGCATCTCCCCTCGCGTATAGTCCGTTAACCCAGTTCATAACAGATGGAAGAAGTATCAAGAGATTGTGGTTGTGCTCTGAGGAGAAGGTCAGCTCACATGAACTGAATATGTTGTCAGCCAAGCAAGTGTTCACGGTTTACGCCAATCTACATCGAAAGGCAGTTAACGACGTCTGCCTTTATTGAACGCATTACCTCGTCACGATTTCTAAACATTGAATTTCTTCATGAGTTAAACATGTGAAGATTGTTTTGAATTAGTCTGACAAATAAAGCTAATATTTAATAAAATTGTTATCGGCCAAGCAAGCGTTTATAGGTTCCCGGCGGATTTAAATCGAACGTCAATGTTGTCGTCTGCATCTACATTGAACACGTCATCTAGACTCTCGAGACTTCGATTACAATTGTGAATTTGATTTGAACAAGTCTGTGTTTTCTGACCTAGGAGAGCTATGTGTTGGTATGCCCGCCCAAGTTCATTCAAATTTTTGTTGTCGGCCAAGCAAATGTTTACAGTCCCGCCAAATCAGTTGTATGAACTACAAAGCTAGTTGTCTGCATCTCGAGACTCGAGACTCCGAGCACAAAATGTAAAATTTCTGAAATTGAGAGAAACTTACGAAAACTGTTTTGACGTGGAAAGCCTGGTATGCCAGCTCAGATACAGCTAATTTCTTGTTCGGGTGAGAAAGAGCTCATAACTTCTCGCCAGATCTGTATCGACTCGCAGTTATGTCGTCTGCTCGGCCAATACAACGCTTTATCTCTACACTCATGATACTCGAGACTCTGACTACGATATGTGAAAATTGTGATTGATTTGAACAAAGCTTTTGAGATTGTTTATGAGAAAATCTGAATATGTCAGCTCAGATACATTAACTTGTCCTCAGCAAAGCAAGTGTTAACACCATCTGGAAAAATTCTGCTCATAAAGTTTGTGATTCGTGTACTCCCGTAATGTGACTCTGTATTAAAGATTTGTTATTATAAAGTGTTTTTACTTAATTTTTCGAGTACAAGTACAACATTTTTTTTCTTTCTCGATTTCAAGGAGAATTCCGAGCACAAAATGTAAAATTTCTTCGTGATTTGAAAGAAATATACGAAAACTGTTTTTACTCATTCTAACGCTGGATTACTGTACAAGGATATTTTTTGTTCGCGTTCACAAGCTGGATGAGGCTCCGAATGCAGGTAAATGACAAACGTTCTCATTTGAACGTGCAAGAAGGGAGAGCGTTGTTTGAAGAAAGAAAGAAAAAAAAAGACAAAGTGGACTTTGCAGGCGCTAAAACTATCGTAAATTCCCATTGGACTCTTTCAATACCACAGTGTAGCTACCAGGAACGCCACTACACGCCACAACTTCAGTGGAGTTAAACCAGCAGCACATGTTGACATGTTAACTAATACATGTTTCCAAGCTAACTAGTCACTGCTAGACTCATGCGCTATGATCACAAACGCAACATCTGCTAGCCGTTGTCAGGAAGGTCATCGGAGGCGGCAGTGATGCCGATGTCGCGACAGTTGCCCCGATGGGGGACTATCCTGAAAATCGCCATCATCGTCTGCACGATGGGTTACTGCGTTCTGTTATGCTCGTGGTCGGTTCGGAATAATGACGACACTGGCAGATCGGACAAGGCCGTGGTCGTTGATGACGGGTCAGTATAATTACTTTTTTTTCGACTTTGGATACAAATCGTTAACATACAAATGCACATCACAATATACCAACACTGTTGAACATAATAAGGTTGGAAAACACGTTTTTGTACTTCTTTTCATGAAATGTTTGAGAAAATATATTACTCTAAATATCGATAGATAAAGTTTATATCCTCACAGAACTGTATTAATTGAATCTCTAGGACTCTTAAGATTGATCAATACAGTTCTGAGAAGATATAAACTTTATAACTACCAATAACAAATCATATCATACGATCACAATCCTTTCATGGAAAGAGGTGAGGAAATATATTCCAATGTTGTGGGTAACAGTGTAGAATAGATACACTCGGCAATGAACAGTATACAGTGAAAACAATACCCAATTAAAGTAGGGGAAATACAGTTCACAACAAAAGTTATCAGTATGATAAAAATATGATATAGTTTCTATATTTCGACCATGACGGAAATTGCAATCTGATTGTATATACACGTAAATGTGTTGATTTCCATTGCTAATGTACATTTTAATCAACTTAAAACAGAGCAGCAATTTTGAAGATCGAAAACATTTTAAACTGTGAGATGGTTTTCATGAACAAATTAACAGCCGGGGGGCAGGAATATTACGTTTATCGCTGATTCATGAATACAAATCTTCGGTAAATATGAGGTTTCTATATTAAAAAAATACGGGCATGCTAACAAATATTATGGGAAAATATTTGATTCTTGTTAATGTATCCGAAAATTAAAAAACATAAGGAACTTCATTGTTTAGCCTTTCGACGTTCCATTGTTCAGTTACCTTCAAATTGACATAAGCAAAGCGTCTCACTTATGGCGACTGATTTTCTAGCCTGAACAAATGATATTTGTTTTACGAGTACGAAATTCGTCTTTGTTTTTCCTCCAACAAAATTTTGTCTGGTAAAAACGGGTCCCCAATGTATCATCTTTGTCTAGTCTTGACATCACATCCGGTTCAAACATGTTTAAAGAATCACTATGACCCAGATTCTGATTCCAATTTGGTAAAACATATGAACGAACAGTTGGTCATTATATTCTACGCTTTATAGACAAAATCCGGAGAAAAAAAATATGCTGCACGGGGGCGTATGCATGGACTCCGGTGCCTGGGAAAATGCGCCCCGATGTATACCCTGTCCAAACTTATCAACTCAAAACTCCAATCAGATTCAATGACTACGACTCTTTGGACAGATTAAAATTACGTGATTTTTTTTTAAATGTACTAAGCCCGGAATTGGTAGCCAAAGTTGGATAAATACGGGGGGGGGGGCATATCGCATTTTATCCTTTCAAAACGCGCTCCATTGTGCATATTGCTTTTGTCGCTTTTGTTACTTTTGTATGGATTTAATGAAAACCGTTTCAAACTGAGATACGTATTTGAAAGAGAAATAAAAAAAAGAATTGTTGTAAATCAGGAGCTTAAAGGCCAGACCAGAGGTTGCCAAAGAAACTGTTACAAGCACTTTAGATGAAAAGTAGCAAAATATTGTATAGTTGAGAAAAAATTTCTATTGATAACATTGTGCGTCAATTGCATTTGTTCTCACAATTTTATTTTGATGTTTGAATGTAAATAAACACCTCATTAGAGGCACAACAAAAAAATGCTTTTGTTGAACAATTAGTTGGAAAATTCAACCTGTGGTTAATCAATTTCCATATCAGAGAGGACGCCGATGATAGAATTTAGGATATATAACAACACAAAGTCAAGGGCGCGAAATGATGAGATCTCATTATGCGAAGGATGAAAGTGATCGAGATTTTGAACATTTTCACACTTGAACCTTCAAAACACTATTCATAATGCATTGTAGCCTCGGCTGGGTTGTATACAATACTAAAGGACTATAATATTCTCCTTTCTCCCTTCCCTCCTTTTCTCTTCTGCATATTTTGCTCCTATTTTAAAGCTCATCTGCACTAGTTTGGCCAGGAGGGATTAGACATCCCTACAAAGTCACTGACAGGACTGTCAAATCAGTTCTCAATTAACATAAGAAAAAGGGGACCGTGGGGGACCAACTGTCACCACTTAGGCATTGTTTGCTGTATAGAGGGCGCAATTAGCTATAAGTAGTGCAGTGGGGCTTTAAGTGCCACCTGGGACAAGTTAGTGCCCCTCCACCCCTAGAGATACGCCACTGATACTGCTATAAGTTTTTATTTTCTAAGTTAAACAAGACGGCTGAACTCGGAATCAAGTCAAGGGAATCAGGAAAACATGTTTTCAATTACCGATGTGAACCCAAGCGTTTTTTTTACATGAATGTACTCTGTGGGATAAAAAAAAATGAACCTGGCTGTCGAAGGGATTGTTTTTCCTTCCAGTCACGGATTCGAAGTAAATCCATGCTCTAGATACTCCAGGCTCTTGTTTATTTGTTCAGTATGTCTTGTAGAATGCTGACTGTGGAAACATGATTATTATCCTTAAAGTAGAGACTCGATCATTATCAGGAAAAGAAAAGAGGTAGAGAATGACTATCTTTTAAACCGATACGCTCCCTTTAGCCACACATTAACGATAATCTGAAGATTTGTTGTATTTATTGATTTATTTTCATTCTTTCATTATTTTTTAGGGGGCTATAATTTTTTGTAAAAACGGAGTATGAAATAAATCGAATCAGGAAACTGATTCCATTTCCCACAGATTTATATCAAAGGTAAATGAAAAAAAAACATTGGATAGTATAATTATACCATAATGATTTCTAAAACTCTGAGATGTTCTTTATTTTATGAAACCTAAAGAAGTGTTGCTGCCTAACTGCACCTTAAAACAAGTGAATGAAATTCGTGTGAAAGACTAGAAGATAAAGATAAAATGAGAAGTTTTTCTTTGAAAGGCAATATTTCATATTGTTCGATGGCTACTTCCCCTCCTCCTCCTCCTCCATAGAACCTGTACTAGTGATAAGGCTTTATTGCAGTGAAGAAAAATAAATTGTATTTTCAATTATTTCAATATTTTGGGGTGTTGATATATTTCCATGTCTTATTATTGTTTGCTTTTTCCTCCTTCTCGAGAGCTGTGCAATACAAAATCGATTTTAAAAAAGGAAACGTTGCATTTTTTTCTCGCAAAATCTAAAGATGAAAACACTTCTTACGTGCTCAGAGCTCGTACCTGAAAATATGTTGAAATATAAAATGTTTATGCATTGCCGATTTACAGGGAGGTGCCCCCTTGGGGGGGGGGCATATGATGAAAGAAAGAATGCAATTAGTTTGATGTTATACTAGAGTTGTCAATACATCTTGAGATCTAATTATTGGCAGAGGTTTCGCTAACCAAGGGCATGCCCCCCCCCTCCTTTGAAAGGTGAAAGAATATAATTAAGAGAAGAAAAAAAAGGGGGAGAGTGGGAGAAGGATGGGATAGAAGGTGAGAGGGGTCGTGAAAAGGGGTCGTGAAAAAAAGAGGTTAACAATCCCTCCCGCACCCCATTGATCCACCCAATATGACGGGAGGGGGGGGGGCGCCCCATCCATCATACAAGTGACCCCTTAATGGATTGACCTATACGCTACGCCAGTTGGAGCAATGTCTGGTAGGCCTTGTCCGAGTTTGAATATGCTGAAATCAATACAAGGATTTCCCGCGGTTATAGAACAAAGATAATGTAAATAGTTGGTTATATATAATATTAGTCAGCAAAAAACTTTATTAAAGATGAAGTTGAGTTCTGGTCATGCGATTGCATTGTGAAAGAAAGGGTGTGGAATCGACCAGAAAAGGTTGATCATCTAGCATATTAGTATTGTGTGTATTGCAAGGTTCTGGAATCATCAAAATGATAAGAAATTGGCCAAGTCTTGGTAAAGTTACAAACATTGTACACAGAAAGATGTACATGGGATTACACGAACGCGTGGCGTAAAAATCCTACCCTGGAGTTTTACGATGTTACATGACATATTTAGAATATGAAGGCATTTGAAGAGCCGTGCTTTTCAGGGAACATGTCTTATCTGATGTTCTTCCACACTTGCATAATAAGAATGATAACGCTCACAAATTATTGTTCACCTCTTCCTAGAACTCAACATTTTCTTTAATCTTGTTTTTTCACATTCATTGAATAGGAATGATTAAACCTGCCAATCTTTCTCCAGTTGATCATAACTATGTATTGTCTATATTTGTCTGCTCAATACGTTCACATGTCTATATCCATGAACTTTCGATACGAATATTAACATGTTATCATATTTTGTAAACATTTACATTTTATTCAAATGTGCTAAGGTATTTCGAATTTATAAATATCAAGTAATGCAATTTTAATGTTTAATGCCTATGACACAAGAAGTATAACGATTTGAAATAACGATGCAAAAGATTAATATTATATTTTTTCTTTCTAACTTAAGTTTTGTTTGCTTTGTTTTCTTCTTCTAATCGTTCATATTATAGACAAGCCTTGCCCCAATTCATCCCCAACCTCGGACATGCCATTCTCCACATCGCACCCAACAACGATGATGCAAAAACCGAAGAACCAAAGATATCACACGATGTCGGCCATGATGACATGGATGACCGGCTCGACCTCCGGCCGAAACCGGGGTTGACCTTGGACTTCCGGTCAATGATCCAGAGACTGCGCTCCAACTCGACCTCGTGGAGATTCAGGCGTGATAATCTACTGAAATTAAGGTATTCGGTGTTTTTCTCCGTCTTCTTCATGATGCCTCTCTCTCTCTCTCTCTCTCTCTCTCTCTCTCTCTCTCTCTCTCTTCATCTCTCTCTCTCTTTCTCATCTCTCTCTCTCTCTCTCTCTCTCTCTCTCTCTCTCTCTCTCTTTTTCCCTATCTCCCTATGGCGATGATGATGATAATATTTATAATAATAATGATCATTATTATTATCATTATTTGTTACTATTATTATCATCATTATTATTATAACATTTATTATCACCAGTAATAATGTTAAATTCACTATCATATATATACATTGTGTGCGGGTAAGCCTGAATCCAATGACCGGGGTAATAATATACTTATCTGTAAAGCGCTTTGTGAGGGCCTCCGGTCCTGAAAAGCGCTATATAAGAACGAGCTATTATTATTATTTTTATATATATTTTAATTATAAATTCACATTAATAAATATATATGTAAAGCGTACTTTAATAATTTAAATTTCTTGAAAGCGCCTAGAGACATCTATTAAGCGCTGTGTAAACCCATAATAATATAAACACCCAAACATATGAATCATGTATTTGTACTTTTTCCCCTTTATATTTTGTTCCTGTTTTTAGCTTCCTGATAGGATATTCCTCATCACTGAACTTGAATTGAATTGAAGTAGAATTGATTATACCTTCCGGAAAAAAACAGTTTTATATAGTGCAATGTACCCTTTTGTCGATTAAAGAAACTATGTCCCTTTTTCAGCTAACATCAAATTCTGTAGAACTTTGCAGGTATCATGAATATGTCATATGTATGTCCTATCTGTGAAATGTAATCGTTAGCAGTGTCCTAGTAGTCAAATTATGCAAGGAAACCCGTTTACTTTCTAGACATCCCTTTCAGACACTATTGAGTGACTGACTGACATCTTTTTTTCTTTGGTAATAACATACATAAAATGAGCTGTAACAGGTACATGAGCATTTTGTCTACATCAATAACCCACTAATGGTCAAAATCAATCTGATTGAATCTTTGTGCAGCACAAAACGTACGACCATTCGGTATAAGGGTCTAAAAATCAGACTATTACTTAGGGGATTGCAATCACTTATGTCGATTCGACAACTAATGGTCGTTAATTATTTTCTCACAAAAAGCCATTTTCAAACCCTTTCGTGTTGAGGGGAGTTCTAAATAAGTATTGTCTTTCAAATGCCGTTGGAATTTTACCTATTCATTTTTGACCTGCAAATGGGACATAGTACCTTTAACATTCATCACAGTTTGACAATGTGCAATATATTTCCCTCTTTCTCAATATGAGTAAAATAAGAACAAAAAACACAGTAATTTTCGAAACCTATTTATAATGATTTTATGGGCCTGCACGTTTCCCCTTTCAAAGTTATCCGTCTTTAAATAAAATATACATATAACACTCTAACGATATCCATGATTGTGTTCATGTTTCTTTTATAAATCCTTTAGATGTTGTTAATGTTGTTGAATTATTGAATAAATTACCTCTGAATTGTAAATTGAAAATACAAATATTTTGATTTGATATGATTTGATTTCTGCATTTTTCGGCGGTTTAAACAAAAAGAAGGGGGAAGAGTAAAACAGTAAAACGGCGCGATTTTGGGAAAATCCTGGATCCGCCACTGGGTCAACCCCCCCCCCCTTGGGAAAAAGCTAGATCCGCCCCTGCCCGTATTCCATGTAGCCAACCCATCTTTCCTCCATTTCTGCCCTAACTTGTACATTTTTCCATTTTCCTTCTCGTGAACTAAAATTAAAAAAATTCACTTTAACAAAATTACAGACGATATTGAAATTCCAATTTATCCTTTGAGTTATGAGAGTGATGAAAGCGGTAATAGAATCGTCACTCGACCCCGTTTCAGAAATTCAATTCCACGCCCCGAAACTTCAAAGTTAACAATTGTTATATTATTGGTGTTTTGATGTGTGAAACTAGCCCTAAATACGATCGGAAATGTCTGAATAGGAAACCGAATTTGTCATTTTTGACCGGCCTGTTTCCACGGGTCATCCCGGGTCAAAGAAGTTGATGACAACTGCATCCAAACTTCACATGGGAGTGCTGGATCAACACAAATAGTATTGACATATATTTTTATTTTTCCCGACGACAGACATCTCATTTTACTTTAAATGTGAAGTGTCTCTAAGTTGAAAAATAAATACACGATTCTTTTGTTTTATTTTGTTCTTAAAAAAAAAATCGTTAGTACTCTTTGTATATTCCCTGACACAATATCATCCGACTTCGGTCATATAAGTTTCCCTAATGACAAATAGAATAAAACGACATATAGCCCTGATATCTCTCTGTTATATATTGATTTCACAACAACTTCAACAAAGGTAGACATTATAATTCTTGAAGAAAAAATAAATAAAGGCAGAGAGAGATAAAAACGAGAATATTTTATTTGTTTCGATTTTTTCCGGACGACAACTTTCGAATTGAAAGAGGCCTATTCGTCATTGTCACTGCCCGTTAAATCAGGTAATGTGGGTAGAACTGGTTCCCCATTTCAAATGTTTTATCTTCTGAAGGTCCTATATATTACAGTCGTTTTTACCATAAATTGTCCTCTCGTATATCTTTATCACAACAGTTAAGGCACTGGTCTTTTTAATTCCTGCTTTAAAAACAAAAATCTAGATTATGATGTTTATCAATAAATGGATAAATAGGGAGTCGTGAGGGGACGAAGTGTGCCATGGTTACTCACTTCAGCCAAGTGCCTCTACAGTTTTTGTTATGAGGGGGGGGGGGGTGGTAAGTGGGAAGGGGGCATACACCAGCACTTCTCTTTACTGGGCTCCTCACCGTTAGATCTATCATATAAACGTTTTATTTACCCAGGGTAGCCACTTCAGTTATGAAACTGCTCTTCCAGCTGCTCTAACATAATATGTAATTATTATTGCCTTCTCCAATCTAATATGCTGAGCGCCTAGCTAGAAGGCAGAAGGTCCCACTGTTAAAAGTCTTTGGTATGACTCGGCCGGGGTTCGAACCCACGACCTCCCGTTCATGAGGCGGGCGCTCTAACCACTGAGCCACCATGCCCGGTTGATGATTAACATGTTTGAAAATCATGATCGTAATGATAATAAAAACTATATTTACATTGCGCACATATCCATCCCAGTGGGTGTTAAAGGCACCTTACGAAGTACTTTTATGACTCTTGCTTTAGCCCAGCTTCTTAAAGCGTTCAAATCATTCAAGGAATAAACTCCTGCCAGGTGCCCATTTACTACACCTGGGTCGAGAAAGGCAAATGTAGATTAATATTTTACCAAAGGACGTCAGTGGTGGACGTTAAGGACTCGAACCGCAAACCATGTGATTTACAGTGTCGTGTACATCACGGGGGCTTATCCACTAGACCACGACACATCTTCGTGATATTCGTGTGTATCATCAAGTTTGCCTGACACTGCCCTACTTTTTGTGTTTAAATCTTTAAACTCTACAAAGAGGACTTGACACGATTTCATATATTAATTTTCTGCTGACGCCTACATTTTTCATGTCCTAACACATAACGTCTGAATTTTGCCGACTGAAAATTCCTATTCATCATTTTCGTTCTTCTGTTTCATCTTACCTCGATTCCTTTTTCTTTTACTGCAGGAAACAGATCAAAGACTTTTTGGGCAGGGATTTCCTGAACTCCGCCTTTCTGACTCGGGACAACACCCCTCTCAACTCCTCCGTCCTTTTCTATAAGATCCTACCGGAGGGTGTCCTACCAGTGGTCCGCGATTTATGGGTACAACTACCAAAGGTACACCACCCTTTCAATCCCTCTCGATCTCTTTATAGAAAACTACTAGAGGGTATTTCACGATTTATGGGTACAACTACCAAAGGTACACAACCCTTTCAATCCCTCTCGATCTCTTTATAGAAAACTACTAGAGGGTATTTCACGATTTATGGGTACAACTACCAAAGGTACACAACCCTTTCAATCCCTCTCAACCTCTTTATAAGAACCTACTAGACTAGAGGGTATTTCACGATCTATGGGTACAACTACCAAAGGTACACAACCCTTTCAATCCCTCTCGATCTCTTTATAGAAAACTACTAGAGGGTATTTCACGATTTATGGGTACAACTACCAAAGGTACACAACCCTTTCAATCCCTCTCAACCTCTTTATAAGAACCTACTAGACTAGAGGGTATTTCACGATCTATGGGTACAACTACCAAAGGTACACAACCCTTTCAATCCCTCTCGATCTCTTTATAAGAAACTACTAGAGGGTATTTCACGATCTATGGGTCAAACTACCAAAGTACATAAGCGCCCTTCTCAACCCCTTTATAAGATCATACCAGATTAAGCAGAGGGTATGATACCAGTGGTGGACGACCTATGGGTACAACTACCAGAGGCACACACCCCTCTCAACGCCTCTCAACGCCTCTCAACGCCTCTCAACCCCTCTATCGTCTTCTATAAGATCCTACTAGAGGGTCACTACCAGTATTTCATGATGTATGGGGGCAATTACCAAAGGTATTATGTACCCCTGTCCGGAGCATTGTCAGCTCGTTTATATTATTATAGAATTCTCTTTGATATGTCATTTATTCAATTTTTGTTGATGTTAACAAAAATCGTAATTTAATCTCGTTTTAGATAATCAGTTTCCCTCTCCGAAACTTAATATTGACGATGTTATAGTGCTGCCTTTAACACACAAGCAAGTCGAAATAAACTATGACGGGAAATGTTAGAATAACAAAATTCGCCTGTCAACTCCTTCATCCTCTTCTGTACAAGATAGTCCCCCCCCCCCCAAAAAAAAAAAAATGATTGACGTAGCCACAAGAAGGACGGGGCACATTCCCCCCAAATGAATCGCGAAAGAAATGACAAGGGGAAATTAAGGGAGAAGGGGAAGTTAGGGTAAAAATAAGATGATTGCACCCCTTCAACCACACCCCCTTCCCCCGTACCAGAGACTTGCTATAACCATGAACCTATATCTCTGCCTGCATCATCATAAACCCACAGTGAAGCCCCAACCTACCTCATGACCTGCCCCTCATCGCCGCACGTTTTGCTTCTTCTTCTTTCTTGTCGTTTATTTCGCCCCCGCAATCATTGATGTAATAGTATGATATAAACATTACATTCCGTGGGAATACTCTTGTCATTTCATGATCTCCTCAGAACATATGAGGCATTCATCATTATTTTAAAGAACACATGTTCTTGAATTTGATACGCCGAACAATATTGGTAGTCTAGACGGGGTTATATTATATTGAGTAAATTCAATTATTTGAACAGACTCATTAGTACACTATCTCTTGTAACTTCTTCTTCTTCTTTTTTTTTTTTTTTTTTGGGGGGGGGGGACTCCTATTTCTTACCTTTTTTCTCTCCTATCTTTTCTTTTTTTTTCTTTCTTTCTTTCTTCCTTTTCTTTTTCTTCTTTTTCTTCTTGTTCTTTTGTTTTGTTTTGTATCTTCTTCTTCTTGTTGTTCTTCCTGTTCTTCCTTTTCCTTGTTATCTTCTTTTCTCTACCTTCTTCTTCTTCTTCATCATCTTGTTCTTGTTCTTGTTCTTGTTCTTCCTTTTCCTTTTTATCTTCTTTTTCTCCATCTTCTTCTTCTTCTCCTTCTTCTTCCTTTTTATCTTCTCCTTTTCCTTCTTCGTGTCGATATGCCGGTAAGTCTTCTGCTCTTGTTTCTTCGTTCAATTATCCATCGTGCTTCAGTTCCTTCTAAACGATCTTGCCATTTTCATCTTTCTTTTCTTGGTCTCAACTATCTTTTTATTCGGTGACTCGACATTTACTCCGGCGGCTTTTGCTTCGCCGACGATTGCTCCTCGGTTTTTTTTCGTCAGATACATTAGAGACTTCGGATTGCACTTCGGTTTTGAAACAAGTTCAGAACAAGGGTGTGGATTAGGTGATGTCAGTAGCGATTCTAGAAAAGTATTATTTAATTGTAATTTCCTCATCATTTTATCCTTAGACGACCCTTTCGTAAAAACATTATTTAAATTTCAATTTCGCAGGCGCCTGTATACAGCGGGAGGCAATATAAAACATGCAGTGTGGTCGGAAGCAGCGGAATTTTGACAGGAAGCAAGTGTGGACGGTTGATCGATAGTACTGAGTTTGTGTTCAGGTGAGATTCTTGTCAAAATTTGATACTTCTGGATTAATGTAATTTGGATTTATTTAAAGGGATCCGGTAACTTTGTCTCAGATTCTGAAACAAAATTCTGAATGTAGCTCATGATGCAATGATAATTATAAACCTTTAGGTCAGTCAGGAACCCCATGACTTTTACAAGCCGATCGCTTGTCTGATTACTAAGATATTTATGATTGGAATTACAAATTTTGAAAACCGATCGCCTGACGGTTTTCATAACACTACAGTCTATTGGGGAAAACGAGTATGGTAAACCCGGTCACTCAAAGATTTTTACTTTTTTGAGGCACTTCTTGATCATTTTGAAGCGCAATTTTTTTAGGGTTTCAATATTACACCATATCACAGACACTGAAAACACGTAGGGCCGTGTATCTCAGATTTAACATTGTTAAACGATCCCTTTAAAACTAAAGCAATCATTTTTTTGTATATGTATTTTATGAAAATGAATTTTCCTCAAAGTTACACTTCAAAAAATGTCAGTCGGTATGATTATCTTGTCATGTGGTAACAGTAGCAATTAAGGTGTTCAATTAATTTAACGCACATGATCAATGTAAAGAACAATGGCTCCGATCTGTAAAATATAACATTTTCATTATTACTTCTTATATTCATGCTTATGAGTCATAGATAAATGTAAATAATTTAATGACATTGAGGTTAATAATGCAAAATAATTATTTTTTTAAATGCATTCGACGAATAATCAGGATTGGCCTTCCAAAATGAGTTCAGAAAATTTTTAAAGAAAATACGTTGTCCACTGGTACTATCGGTATTTCTTTAAAAAATAGTATTTGCTTGGCGAGTCTTTAAAGTACAAGTCCACTCCAAAAAATAACGTAATTTCAATAGAAGCAGAAAAGTCAGACAAACCAATCAAAAGAGGTTTGAGCAAAATCGGATAACTAATAAGAAAGTTATGATTTTTTGAAAAAGTATGTAAAACTATGGAACAAGTGAAATCACTACAATAATTGCGAATTTGGTTATCAGTTTGTGACGTCATGTCCTTACTATTTATCAATTGCTTTTTATATTTTAATCATTAATTTCCCTTTTTATCCCCCAAAACTTGATTTCCCCATGGTTATATGATTTGTATCATATTGCGTGCATGACATTTCACAAAATCTTTTATGAACTTTGAGGAATTGATACTATTTTCTGGATATTGTATATTCATAATTATTGATTTTTATCTAATTAGTGCATCCACACAAAAAAATATTTCTATCAATCTAACTTGGAAACTGGTGTGAAGAAATAAGATTCTTCGGGGGGAAATAGGAAATTTATATTATCAATATAAAGAAAACAATTAGTGGATAGTGAGAACATGACGTCACAGACTCATGAGTGAGTTTCCAATTTGTCTTTTGATTTTCATTGTTACATAGTTTTACATAGTTTTTCAAAAATTCATAACTTTCTTATTAGTTATCCGATTTTGCTCAAACTTTTTTTGATTGGTTTGTCTGATTTTTCTGCTTCTATAAAATTCAAATTTGCAGCTTTTATACCTTTCCCCAAATCGTTAACAGTTCGTAAGGATAAGTAAAGTATACCTATCTCTTCGTAAAGTACTCGTAACTACACGTAAAACGCTCGTAATAACCCGTATCAATCCGTAAAGCCATCGTAAAATGACCCGAATAAAATCGTAAACAACACGTAAGCACACGTAACCATCCGTAAACTGCCTGCAATAATCCGTAAATAATCCACACAAAAAATCGTAAACTAACCGTAACGAATCGTTACAAACATCTGTAACGAGTCATTTACGGATTATTGCGAGCAGTTAACGGATGGTTACGTGTTATTGCGAGCGGTTTACGGATGGTTACGGATTGTTACGAGCTATTTACGAGCTATTTACGGACATATCAATCCGTGGACAATCGTAAGGAGATTTTTGACGTGTCAAAAAAATTTCCTCTCCTTTCACGGATCCTTAAGAGTGTCTACGAGTTGTTGCGAGTTGTGACGAGTTATTTACGAATACCATCGAGTTATTTACAGGTGATTGCGATTGACTACGAGTTGGCGATCCGTAAGGACTCGTAAGAAAAATCCGTGTATGTGAAGGGGGTATAAGTTATTTTTGGAGTGGACTTAGCCTTTAACTTGTCTCCGAGGTCGATTTTGCAAACGCACGCGGTATGCAAAGTCAGTGTAATAAATTACAAAATCCAGTCGTTTAAACACATTCACCCGTTTCTCTGTTTTGCTATATATTTGTTTTCGCCCCTAAATCCGGGGGGTCCTAAATCCTACACGCTGTACATTGCCTTTGAAATCAGATTTGTCTAAGTTATTTGACACATGGTACTTTTCAATCAAAATGTGAAATTGGTAAAATGGTTGGTATACTTTTCCTGCAAGGTGCATCGACATGCTAATTCAACATTCAGGAGGGATTTATTTTTGTGTTTTATCGCCGCGGTTATTGACTTCCTATCCAATTTGTTCAATTCAATTTTATTTCAAACTTTGACCTCTCGGTGTCACCTTTCTTCCCCGTTACCGTGGTTACGTGTCAGAATGAACAACGCTCCGACATCGGACGATTTCATGGTCGATGTTGGAAAGCGAACGAACCAGATGTCGGAAACAGGGAAAAGTCTCGCTAAAGTGAGGTCAGTGCATTATATGAAATAATTTTGTTGGTGTTTTTTCGATCATTTTAACTCCACATTTTACAAAATACAGTCAGGCCTGTTTATTAGGGATATCGAATGGAGACACATTAAAAAGCGGCATTTTTAGACAGTTGGTTTTTATAGACAGGTTCTGCCACTCATATTTTTCTTTCGAGGGAGGAAAAATGCATGACCATTATAGACAGGTGGCCTCTAGAGGGGGGTAGCCACTGAGACAGGTTTGTCTGTATTGGCACAATGATGGTTTTGATACTATCCCGGCCTCGTTTAGCTCATATCACATTAGGGACTTTTAGATTTGCGTGGACTGATACGTGTGACGTCCATTCAAAGCAGTGCATTAAAAGGATGTCGATCGTAGCAATCCACGTTGTCATTGTGCAAATCTAAAAGTCCCTATTATGACATAACGTCCCAACGTGCTTCCAAAAAACCTCGAGAATTATTACTTTGACTTTAGCTCAGTGCAATATATAGTATTTCAAGGTAACATTCTACCAGAAACCCATTTACTACACTGGAGTCGACCAACAGGAGTCGACCACTAGACAACAACACCTCTGCACATAGCATTTCAGCTAACTTTTCGGCAAAGTTTTGGTCAGAACGGTTTTCCTGCAAATCGGTTTAGCGGTTCCCTTGTTTATGACCGCGAAGACTTTTACAACATCAACAGGCAATTTCATTAGCCTTATGCGTCATCTTTTCAAATTCCCCCAAACATTACATTTACCTTACCCTAACATGAATTATGTGGGCAATACAGAAGGGAATTGAATTTGCCCTTGAGTTGATTTTTGGAAAATATTTGTAATCGTGTTTACTATTTATATTCTGTTTGTAACAAAAATGAAATGAAATTATCTTGAATCCAGTCTGAATGCATCAGAAACCTTCAACCTCAGCTGTTTACCATCTACGCCGTTCCCAGACAAGCTCTTCCAAGATACTTCCAAGCCCCTTCCTAAAATCTTACTCGTTCGGCTCCCGACCTTCCCCGAGACCGATCTGGTCCGATTGATCACGAGAGGTTGCCGAGTTGTTCCGAAGGGGGAGGGACAGCTCGTCTTGTGGGATTCGCGAATTAACGTGAAGATGAACGACTTTTGGCGACAGAATGGCCTCAAACTCAAGATGTCATCGGGTAAGAACTAAAATCGTCTTCATTTCTGGGATACGATGATTGTGAGAAGCTAGTTTTCGTAAGATTTGAGGAGTTTTGGAAGGTCAACTTTATTTCGTTAGTTTTCTCACTGGTTTACTCATGCTTGTAAATGTTATTTATTGTGTTGAATAACGAGTCAATGCAAGGACTCATGTTGTCACTTTTTGTTTCGTTTTCTCTCTCTCTCTCTCTCTCTCTCTCTCTCTCTCTCTCGCTCTCTCTCTCTCTCTCTCTCTCTCTTTCTCCCCCCTCTCTCTCTCTCTCTCTCCTCTCTTTCTCTCTTTCTCTCTTGCTCTCTTTCTATCTATTTGTGTCTATCTCTGTCTTTCTCTCTCTATCTCTCTTACTCTATCTCCATCTCCATCTGCTTCTTTTCAGCTTTCTATCTCTATTAAACACCTGAACCATCTTTTTATACTTATTATTCCTCGATTCAACTAATATTTAATCAAAATACCTTCTCTGAAAATACATGAAATATTCATTTACTACTGGTGCATCGATATAAGTCCAATGACGTTTGAAAAGGGCGCCCACTGGTGCTCGCTCGCTAAAATCTTACATTGTGATCACGATAATGCATATTCTGATATTTGCAGGATTGTAAGAAGAGGGGAAAGGGGGTGGTGGAGGGGGGGGGGGGGGGGGGGGGCTGGGACCGACATTCATATTTGTATCAAGAAGATGATTTCTAGAATCCTGACGGTCCTCTAAAGGCTCTGGATGACGGAGGTAGTTGGATGCAAGTGTTATATCCCTAGAAAGTCTTGTTTAAACTCATGAAAGTTGAGTTCTGGTCATGCGATTACATTGTGAAAGAAAAGGTGTGAAATAGATCAGAAAAAGTTGATCATGTAGCATGTAATTATTCATGTGTACTGCAAGGTTCTGGAGTCATCAAAATCAAAATCAATTTGGCCCAGTCTTGGTAAAATAACAATCACTGTACACAGAAATATGTATATGGGACTACACAAATGGTGTCGGGCCTACTTACCTTGATTTCCTTATCTGTCTATGCTCAATACTCAGCCAGTATACATTTTCTACCAAAATTGTTGGGCAAATGACATTTATTTGTAATCTTGAACATTCAGTGTAAGTTTCGTTTGATTCTGTGAGAATTCATTTTTCTTTTTTACCAGAACTCAAGATAATCTTTAATGCTAGATTGCAAAGACTTTCGAGAAATGAACTCGACGGCAATTTCAATACCCTACGTTATCCTCCCAGCGAAATCAAGTTCGGATTACGTCGTTGTACTGTTTGCATAGCCTATTCCAAGAGGTGGTGGGCAAGGCTGTTGAAATGGCTTTGGGAAGGTTTTCGAAAGTCTGCGCGATCACGTTTAAAAGAAGAAGAAGGAAATTATGTTCTCGTTTGTGGCTGCCCCGGGTTAGATCAAATTATACAGTAGGCTTGCGGGTGCACCATATGATAGTGCATTTCCATGGTGCACCCGCAAGCCCACTGTATATCTACATCACCATGCAAGCCGATACTTACAAGCAGCATTTAAGATCAAATTGTTTTTATTATTATTATCATTATTGTTATATTATCATTATTGTTATCATCATCATCATTATTATCATCATCAACATATCCTTTTTTTAATAAATGTTATCCTTTCAGGGTTCTTTTCCATCACTCTGGCTCTCCATCTTTGCCGGGAGATACATGTGTTCGGGTTCTGGCCTTTCAGCCTCTCATCCGAGCGCAAAGCAGTCCCTTACCACTACCACGACCTCCTCATCACGACCAAAGTCATTCACAACTTCATCGAGGAGTTCGACCTGCTGGTGAGGCTTCACGAACACGGGCTGATTAAGCTCCACGTCGATGACTGCACTCAGGAAAGGTGATACAAGTTAGGTGTGTACTAGTTTGGTTCTTAATCTATATGACATACCTTTCGTTGATTAGTTTCCGTCTTATGATTTGTTACATTTCCACATTTCGGGGTCATCCAATAAGACCGACTGCTAAAGAAACCGACAGCCCTTATTAAAGTCCGACAAGGCAGATACAATGTCATACCATGGACCTACTGCGGTCATACTAAGGAAAAATAGAAAATATAGCTTGGTGCTATATCGGCTTTAATAACGCGCCTAGTAGGTATACGAGGCCGACATTGTCTGTCCTATTCGCTGTCGGTCTCAAGGGCCGCCGGTTTTAATAACGTGAATAGAATTAAGGTTCACTGCACGAGACCGACTTGTTCTTGCTGTCCCATTGGCTGGCGGTCGCATCGGCCTCCGGTTCTAAATAACTGTCTCGAAGGCCCAGTAGACCGAAATTGTCTGCCCAAGTGGCTGTCAGTCTCAAGGGCTCCAGTTCTAATAAAGTGTGTAGAAGGCACACGAGACCAACATTGTCTGTCCCGATGGCTGTCGGTCTCAAGGGCCCCCTGTTTTGATAAAGTGTCTCGAAGGCCTATGCGACCGAAATTGTATGTCACGTTGCTAGTCGGTCTCGCAAACCTTTAAACAAGTTAGAAGGCCAGAAAGACACGGCAATGTCGGTCTCTGAGCTAGGGCTACAACCCCTTATTTGCTGCAACCCCTTATAATTGGATTGTGACTATATATCATTTTGTGGTATGATCGACTGTTCAACGGGAGATATTTATTTAGTAAGATAAACAAAAAGAAGCTGACAGTTGACTCCAATAAACGTTATTTCACTACTGTTTCCCATGAATATATTAGGGTTGGAGATAATTTTATTCACACTTTCACATCGACATATCTCTCTCTCTTTCTCTCTCTCTCTGTCTCTCTCTCTCTCTCTCTCTCTCTCTTCTGTTCCGGTCTATTCTCTTCTCTTCCCTTCTATTCTCTTCGCTTCTCTTCTCTTCACTTCTATTCTCTTCTCTCCTCTCCTCTCCTCTCTTCTCTTCTCTTCTCTTCTCTTCTCTTCTATTCTCTTATCTTCTCTTCTCTTTAGTTTTCTTTCTTCCCCTCCCTTTTCAGTCTTTCTCTCACCTTGTCTCAGAATATCTCTGTATTGATATCGTAACTACATGTATTTGTTCTTCTTCCGGTATCACGTTTTAATCAATTTCTCACTTCAACAGTCCTCACCCTTTTCATTCAAAAATAGCATATGCCCTATTGTAATAAAAGCTACAAACTTCCGTCTCTAATAGTTGACTTTGGGGCGAAAAGGGTTCTTCCTTTCCATTTTACACAGAACAAGCCAGAAAAAAAAGCCTTCCTGGGCTGCGTCTCACGAAACTGTCATAAGTACAAGTTCAGCGACATCCCATTAAAATGCGTGTATTAGGTTTAACACGCGTTTCAATAGGTTTTCGGTGAACTTGTACTTATGACAGTTTCGTGAGACGCAGCCCTGATTTCATTTTTCAGACAAGAAAAGAAAACATTTTCAGAACCGCTGACTACATTCAAAGTCACCGTAGCGAAATGAAAGAAGAATTTGTAGGCATTGAAGTTTGTGTAATTGTCAATCATGCGGTTTGTTTACCCTCGCTCTTTTTGAATAGCATGTTCCAGCCATTCACACGCCTCTGTAAATTTATTCATGAATTTAACATCGATATGCTTGCTTTAAACTAAACTGTTGATTCATGAAATCATCAATTCGTCCATATAATGTTTTGAATATCAGTATTCGATAAGCTTCCCGGCCCTTGCGTACTATCTCATCCGGATAACTAGCCCCAGACAACAACTTACTGACCACCTGTAGAACTATAACACCGAGAAAATACCTCGGACAACTATCCCCTATACGACAAGGACCACTTAAACCAACTATACCCCGGATAAATATCCTGGGATAACTCTCCCCTAATCCTCCGACCAACTATTGCCCATAGACAACTAGAAACATGTACTAGACGCCTATACCCTTTAGATAATTGACCGCTCGGACAACTAACTAATAAATAGTTGTTTGGGTGTAATTGTCCTATTGATTTTTGCCTGAGTTTTATTGTATCGGAGGGTGATATTTCATAGGGATTATTGTTCAATTGCTAGTTCCCAGTTGGAAGGGTGGGGGTTGGGATGCCATGTGGGCTAGTCGTCTGATAGTAATTGTCCTAGGGTATATAATTTGTCCGAATATGATTTGTTGAAGGGATAGGGTAGATGTCCGGCGGTCATATTGGTGATTGGGGCAGTTGTTCTTGGAGTTATAGTACCCCTTGAGTACTTATCAGGGAGTTGTGGTCGTCCGGGGTAGTATACCTTGTGGTAGTTTACTCATGGTGAGAGAGGTATAGTTGTCCTAGAATTCGTTCTTTACCACCGATACGGTAACCGTTTTACACTCCAGTTCACAAAGTTGACATTTCGCAGGTTGTTTCGACTTCATGCAAACAGCCTGACCACTATTCATAACGAGTATCGGCTAAATATCTGACATATCACAGTTTTCAAAATTTATGGTGCGTGTCATACTGACATCAAAGCAGGCAATTTTCAAAATTATTCTGAATGAAATAACCGGCTTAGATCATCTGATGTAGATAAATGAGGTCCAATTATTCAACTTCACTTTTACAGCTAACCTAGAAAGCAGCATCAAAAGCTTAACAATCGAACACAACCCCCTTAGGTTGTGTACATACCTTCCAGATTTGCATTTTCATATGGAGTCATTCATTCTCGCTTCGCTTCCATGATTTTCAGGCGACACGAGATTTTTTGTTCTTCTTCACCCCGCGCATTTTTCGTCTATTCTTCCCGTATTTATTCTATGTGCGGTCGTGAAAAGGGTGAATTATGGTCATAAGGAGTGTGCGTTAGAATTTGTATGTGAGGAGTGTGTGTGTGTGTGTTGGTAAAGTCGACTCTCTACGATATTCGACATTTTGTACCGGTGCTTGAGTCGAGTTGCAGTTTTTCGGTGTCGGTGGATAAGAGAAGACAACAATTATTGTTCCTCTTCGACTGATATCTTCATGGACTAATTGGCTTATAATACTTGAAGAGGAGTTTTATTTCAGAGTACAAACCTATTGATACAGCGACCAATTGACTCTTCATTAGTTTGGGTGATATTACTCAACGTTTCGTTCGGATACATGAGAGGTAAGAATATTTTCAATGCCTGGCGTAGCGTAAAGGCCCCTTTCATTATCCGTTTTTTTTTTATAGCAGTCTCTTGCACCCGTTCCTTTTGATTGTGAATTTCCAACAATACGACTAAGAATATAAGTTTTCATTTAAAATTCACCGATATAGTTGTCAAACTCCAAATGACTGATAATAACTATATAGGATTCATATCAATATGTATATATAATCTTTGTGTGAAATGAAATCAATATTTGTTTTAAGAAAATGCGAATATTCCTTTTTAGAGCAAGCAGAAAATACCCCACACATGCTTCGCGAAACTATTTTAGGAGAGGGGGGGGGGAGCTCCTCAAAATAAGATGATTAACAGTAGGAAATCCATGCTTAGGCAGCTCTCCCTTTTCGGGATAAAATGGGCGGTGGCTAAACTGGCACCTAGCTTAGCCCTCTCTTCCAAAGACACAAGGGCTCCACTGAAAAGGGGTTGGGAGATTATAAACTTGTTAATCAAGATCGAAGTGCATGCAAAGCCCCGGTGGCTACCAATTCGGCTTGCACGCTAACGACTGGCTGCATTAACCATGCACTGCCAGTTGGACCGTGGAGGTCCGTGGGTGGACTTACCTGTTTCGTCTCCAAACAATTTCGAAGGTTGACGTACTGGGGTAACAAGAATCGCCTCGAAATCGGCTTATGATGTTGATGTACTACCTGTCCGTTCGGGACAATGCCTCTCGGTTGATGGCTTAAGAGCGCCATACATCTGACTGGCTTCAACCCCGACAGAGTTGGCCCCAAAAGAGCCATTCAGGTTTATAGCTCTTTATACCAGTTTGTATGGATCGGAAATAAAATGTTCGAAATATCCGTAAGATAGTTTTTTCTAAGTTGGAATAGATATGTGTGGGGGAGGGGGATTCCATGGCCTGGCGTCATCCAGGTAATTATACCAGTGGTATTGTACAGATATGACGTAAATCGTCATATTGTCCGTAAGAGGTTTTTTCTTGGGAGATGTGTGGTGTGGGGAGGGGGGGGGGGGGCTTTCATACATGGCATGGAGCAGCGGCGCTTATAGCAATTACCACGTTTTTTAGTGTCACACAAATACTATATGATAATACACGGAACCATTGGGGTATCAGTATCTAAAAGCAATCATACTTTGGGCTAATTTCTATTATCTAATATTGTCTTTGTGTATCATATGGGTTTATCATTGGATAGTAAAGTTCATGTGTAGTCTTAATTGAGACTCATGAGGAATGAATTTTTAAAAAGAACACAATAAGCACGATAAGCATGTGCATTTTAAGCGGCTGAATGGGCAATAATTAGCATTTCATTACATGACATTACATGTTATGTGTATGTTATGCATGTTTATTAATATAGCCTATGCATTTTAAGCGGCTGGATAGGCATGTTTATAAATAATTAGCAAATGATTACATCACATGTTATGTGTATGTTATGCATGTTTATTAATATTTCTTTTGATTATAGATCTTGATATGTCATGTCAGATTGTTCATGTCGTCATAATTTCTTATTTCACCATAACAATGGTTCCATTTTCTACGATCAGGGGTGACACCACTACAGCCTATAAAATAATGCACACAAAATATGTAACTTTTATTAATACGCAATGCATCATGAACTCATATACAGGGCAACACTATTTCCAGCAATTAAAGGGTCGTTTTCACTCGTGGTAAGTCAACATGACCCAATATCAATGACTTTAAAACCAATAAATGCCACAGATAAAATGATTATTGGTAAAATTGGAATACTTCGGGCAGACATGACTCGGAATATAGGCCTACATGTATGTTGATTTGTGCTACTGGAATTCCGCTTGTGTTGACTTCGATAAATGTTACACCCATTTCGTTTCAACTTCCCTAAATAATAGTAATGGGTCATTTATTAAGCGCAGCTACAATACTTTTTGAATACTTTATGAAACTGCGCTTCATATAAATTATCATATTATATATTACCCTGGCTGTAGCTGAGCTGCCATAAAAATAAGGCGCTAAAGCATTCAAGGAATTTCTTCCTATCGGGTACCCATTTACTTCACCTGGGTGGAGAGTGGCTAATGTAGATTAATGTTTTGCCAAAGGACAGTAGTGCCGCGGTGAGACTCGATCCGCGAACCATATGATCGACAGTCCGATGCGATATCCACTATACCACGACACCTCTATATCGTTTTAAACAGGAATAACAGACTAAATATCACACGAGTCGAATTACTCAACAAACACTACCCAAATATGCATTTGATTACCATTCGAATTATTCAATTTGCATTTCATTTGATTAGAATGCATTTATTTGCTGCAATAACATTTCTACCAATGAGTTATACGTGAGAAAACGACTATTTGAGCCGTCATAATTATGGGTTGCTCAACCGACCGTGAACTTGAAGGTTGATACTACCATTTTCTACAAGAAAGGAAAAATGGTACCTGTTTTTGACAACAGGCATGCATAATAGGAGGAAATACCTGATAATCTGCGTACCAAAACAAAAAGAACAATGCACGTTTTGTCAGAAGAATAAAAACTCTGTATTTCATTGTCATTGTCGCAATTTTTCTACAGTTCGGAATAACAGGTGAACTTAAAGGCAGTGTAGTATTGGCTTTGAATTTGAAGCGAAGAGGTAAATTTTTAACTGCAGACAAAAAATATGTGATATCATACAATAATTGTTTTCTTCCTCGATATGTTTGATCCTATTCATGTCATACTTTTGTACAAGTGCGTTTATGTGATTACATATTTTGCACTGCATATGTATAGTGCGCCTTGAGCACTTGTTTTCAAGTGGTTTTGGCGCCTTACACATTGTAATCATTCTTAACAATCATGTAAAAATTGATTTGGAAACTACTTGCATGACGTGATGCGAACTATAGAGAAACCCAATATACTTTCATAGTAATCATAATTTCTATCTTCAAACGGAGATAATGTCAATCTCTGACATTTCAATTTCTAGTGTCTCGAGCATATCATGCCTAATTTCATTTCCATCACGTATAGCACAATTTTGGTTCGTTTGTGATTTCAAATAATTACCCATTTTTTTAAACCCCGAATGTTTTAAAGTGATTATGAAACCAAACATGTCTCTTTACGGTGACCCCTTCACAATCCCCTTACTGTTAGGGAATACAACCTCCCTTTAAATAAATACAAACATTAATTCTATGACGGTTTATTTGATAAAAGGAGGAAATAAACAAGGTGGAATTTAATTTTAAAAAGAGTCATGGCTCGATTGATCCACGACTTTCAGCACGGTTTTTGATTTGAAGAGGAAGCCCGTTCAAACATTATACTAATTGATTATTGTGGAACATTCAATTTATTTCTTTTAAAACGGCCGATTTAAGACAATAATCTCGAGCTCATATTCATTTTGCTCATTCCCATGATTTACTCTTTCAACGTGCCATTTAAATGCACTGTTTCAGAGCATGAATTTAACTGTGTATATAATGCAATGAATCTGGCATAGTGGAACTATTCACGTTTACGCTTGATCAAACGGCATGACGGATTGCCTCTCTTTTGTTTAGTTAAAATTCCTCTCTATTTACTATCGGTTTGTTCACGAAAACGTGAAGTTAAAGGCAAGTTCAGATACTGATTTTCCCCAAATATCTCCTCCTTGTATCATAAGGTACAAGCAGACTTTCACAATGAAATGAAGAAAAACAAGAAGGGGGAAATGGATCTTAGTTTCACACTGCTTAGTTTTTTGTACGATAGTGTAAGAATCTCGGAGAAACAACTGAATATTGTATTCGTAATCACAAGCTGAATAGGCCTACAAGTTAGATTAGCGAATACTTTTTTAATATTCCAAAATCATTGTAAAGTATGCATCAACGAGCCTGTCAAAATGGACACTATGAACATGATGACCCCCCCCCCCCCCAGTTTTTATATCATTTTAAATCTGATAATAAAAAATAACTCTTCCGTGTCCTAACGTTATGTTCCATAACATCAAAGGTATAACATATAGTACCACACCGTATGCATATCTGTTTGAAATACACCGGCACCATAAACATATATAATATTCTATGCATGACCTGAATATAACTACCCGGTTATATGCGCCACTGGCGTTTGTTTGCATACCATATCAGCTTTATCTTGGTTGAGGGCGAAGCTTTAAAATAAAATTAGGGGTGACTTTAAGGGTATAGTTCTTTCCCTTTTCATTTCATGAACGAATCGAATAGGGCTATTCAAGCAAGTAACACATCTATTTTTCTCATAAGTCGGGTTATCATAACCCATTACTGCAATAAAGACAACAACAACAACAACAACAACAACAACAAAGCTTTGTGTTGCTTTTAACCCAGGTGACTACCTGCATGGCCCTACCCCTTTTTATAAGATGCGTTTGCTAGTTCCGCCTCATATATCGTTTACATCATTTGATTACTGTAATAATCAGACTGTCGTGTTTATCCTCTCTCTCCCTTCATTTCGCCCTCTCTCTTCCTCTCTGCCCTATCTCCCCTGTACCACCCTCTTTCTATCTTTATCCCTCTTCTCTCCCACTTCCCTCTTTCTCCCTAACCTCTTTCTCTGCCACTCTTTACCCATCCCTCTCTCTCTATCACTCCATCTCTCTCTCCCTCTCTCTCTCTCTCTTTCTCTCTTTATCTCAATGTGTAATACTAGAATATACGGAATATTTCTATCTCGTCTATCTTTTATTTTGATGGTTCTTCTATGATTATAAACACAATGATATAGTTTCTCATTTATATATATTACGTATTTGTACAATGTGTGACCAAAACAAATGTCCATGTATTCTTTTGAATTTGGATGAATAAAAAGAATTGAATTGAATTGAATTGAATATATCTGTCCCTTTTTCGTCTCCCCTCTTCCCTCTTTCCACCCCTCTCTCCCTCTTCCTCTCTCTCTCTCTCTCTCTCTCGTTCTACCCCTACCTCTCTCTACAGGTTTTTGTGAATTTCAAAGTACACACACCAGCTACCGTGTCACGTGGTTTGAATGCAGACAGCGTGAAGGCCATACGACTGTCACTAAAACAGTATCTCCGTGCTAAATTCTTTTCAAGCATTTCGAAAAGAACAAAAAACAGACGAACATCGCAAAATAATGAATGTTTGTATATTCAGGAAAAACTGACTATTGTTGAGCAGTGACTGCATGAGGATCTACAAATCAACTAGTCGTTTTTGCTTCTTAGTTGCAAAGGTGTGCATCCCGCGTAAATCAGCTTTACTAACTCAGAGTGTTGCAAACATAGATCACCTTTACTTTGTACTCAATGACAAGTTCTACTACATTGCTGCATTCGTTTTCATAATTTTGTGTGAAAACTGCTGCAAAAGTTTTTGTTTTAATCTGTAACTTTTTACGCCGGTATTTATCGTATGGTACTTGCTGTTTTTACTATTCAGCGCACCCTGTATTGTGGAATTGTTCCTAACATCATCCACAAGGAAAAGTAGACTTTCTGCTAACTGGTTGGAGTCATCGAAACAGTTTCTAAATTCTTCTGGATTTCCTTGATATCGTTTAACCTGCAAACATCAATGTTACCGTTTTACTAGCGGCCAGTGATCAAGTAAGAATCCAAAAGAACAAGAAGAGTGCGACAGTTGTTCAGTTGGTTAACTTCTCGCTGAGAAAAGGACAACTTTCTTCATTCTTGCAAGATGGGTTCTTCATCGGTGCCGCTCGTCCTCTACATCTTCGTCAAGTCCAGCGTTCAGGACACCCGTCAAAGGATACACGAGAACGTCCAGAACGTTGGCGTAGCGTTCCCGAAGGTCGACTTTCGTGTCCACCGGTTCGAGTCCAACAGGGTCTTTGATGACATGCTGGATCTGTTCCTCAAGGGCATCAGCGAGAATGATGTTTCCAGGTTACAGGGAATCATCGTCAATGGGTTTGGACAGAACCCGACCGGTGCTCTGGGAGACACGGAGTTCAGCGGAGCCTTCTTCAAGATGGTGCTTCTGGCGATGCTGAGGAGAAGGTAGGTTCTTTACCATTTATATGCAGTCCTGGGGGAAAATCTCAGTTAATCTCAGTTTTCTAAAAGTCTCAAAATGATTAACGCTCTTGAAAATAAGGGGGGAGGGAGGGGGGGGGGCCGGGGGGGGGGGGCTACCGTGTTATATTAAGTGGTCATTTGGTAATGTCGTTGGGAAAGCCGAAACTGAGCAGTTATTCCCCATGCAATTATGTGTTTTAAGTGTACATGTAGGTAAGGTATGACAAAAAAATAAAAAATTTACCCATTCGCGGATAAAATTTCGTTTCAAAAGACAAACGCGTACTTTTTTGATAAGCACATTTTGAACAACTTATTGTTATGTTTAGGCACATTTCAACTTTTAAATTCAAACAAAGAAAGAAAACTGTCGATTTCATATGTAGGACACTTTTAATTCTCATCGTTTCATGGTACTTCCAACTTCTAAGCCATAATTGTATGGAATTTAATTACGAATCATTTAGTGTTATATGTGTTATGGGACATAACGTAATATCGCATCGAGGGACTTGATAACTTAGGACCAAGATTCGTAAAAGACACGATGTCCACACTGTTCGTTGACTAGAATCGAAATAAAAGAATGACCTGTCCGGATTTGTTGGTATATAGGGTCAATACAAATATTGCCAATCCGAGAAATCCGATTTGATTACACAATCGTTTCTTCCGTTCGTGTACGGATCGGAGTGGATGAGCCGTTGACTAGAATCGAAATAAAAGAATGGCCTGTCCGGATTTGTTGGTATATAGGGTTAATACAAATATTGCCAATCCGAGAAATCCGATTTGATTACACAATCGTTTCTTCCGTTCGTGTACGGATCGGAGTGGATGAGCAAACAGTCTTGAGAATACTGACATTTATAAAGATTTCCACATTCTATATGCGTATTATGCTGTTGTGGGTTATAATGGTGAAGAGTCTTGAACTATTTAAAGGGTTAGGGTGGGGAAAGGGATGTTTACAACTTGAACGCTATTATAAGCTCTCTCCTATTAGCTCCATTCTTCTCCCTCTGCCCGCTTCTCTCTCTCTCTCTCTCTCTCTCTCTCTCTTTCTCTCACCCCCTTTCTTTATTTAATCTTTTTCATTAGCAGTGTACTTGTGATCTTGCTTTCTTCCTTTGTCTCGCTCTCTCTCTCTCTCTCTCTCTCTCTCTGTCTGTCTCTCTCTCTGTCAAGCTCTTCCCCTCCCCTCTCCCACACTTGTTTTTTCACCCAATCTCTCTCCTTTATGAGAGGAGATAACATCTTATGTAACAAGAGAAAGAGTGAAATACTGTATAACAATAGACCTAGCGCTCAAAAGTCCCAACATTATGCCCATAATCCCATAATTGCGTGCATCACTTGCAACGCACGAATTCAATCTTACAAAAGACACTAATGCTATTTGCGAGAATTTCCAGGAATTGAATGTATGTTTTCAAGTCTAGAAAATGGGTACTGTTACTAAAAGCTAAATGGTCAAATGAATTACATATTACAGCGATAGATTCGTATTTCTCACCGTACTCATATTCAGGGAATGACTACTTTTCTATTTATATATGTTTTCTTTAAAGGGGGTAAGAAATCATGCAGAGTTTAGTTGTTACTTATGACACGAATCAGAAGATAGCAACTAACGGACAGCTACGGATATTTAAATAGTAAATACATACAATTACACACCAATTATTTAAACATATTTGTGGCTTACACCCAGTAAATAAGATCGATTGATCGATCTGTATTAAAAAACAAGTCAGAAAAAATCTTGGAACCAGCGGGATTTGAACCTGCATCTACTGTTTGCCGGGCAGCGACTCTACCACCAGGCCATCACTGGTCCATGGCACAGTCACGATGAACTAGAACAAATACCTCAGCTCTCCTGATTTTTTAATACAGATCGATCAATCGATCTTATTTACTGGGTGTAAGCCACAAATATCTTTAAATAATTGAAATTTCTCCCAGGAAGCATTACATTTATTTAAAAAAAAAATTAAAAAAAAAAAAAAAAAATTACACACCACTTTCAACTGTCTTTTCCATGGCGATTTTTCACTTACGTGAATTTCATAGAAATCTTTGTAATAGAAATCACTTTATAGAAATCATTGGCAATACATTGTCTTCTCTTTTACCATGTCATGTACACGCTGAATATTTATTCACTACCAAATTACACTCAAAGATCATTTCTTTACTACCAAATTATACTCAAAGTTCATTCATTACTACCAGATTACACTCAAAGTTCATTAATGTACTACCAAATTACACTCAAAGTTCATTTCTTTACTACCACATTACACTCAAAGTTCACTTTTTTACTACCAAATAACACTCAAAGTCCATGTCTTTGGCCACCATCATGATGAAGGTGTTAGCCCATATCACACGAGGTCAAACTTTTAAACTTTACCGTGGAACTTTGATGAACCCTTCCATGCTGACTGTGTAATAGCTAAATACACATGACTGAATTATATTATATACATGATGCGAAATGTCTAATATTTGCTTAAGACAAGAATGCTGTGAGTAAAGTGCAAAGTTTAATATATTTAAAGTCAGAAGGACCGGTTTTGTTTGCGTTGGTTGACGTGTGGTTTTGTCATGCTATTCAATCTCGTGTCAGTTATGACAATCATGGAGTCATAGACCTTCCATGGTTATGACTATTCACCGGACAATAGTGATTGTTTTTATTTTCTTCGTGACCGCCCTGTGACAAATCCATCTTGTTCTGTATAGTTTGGATCTTGTTGAATACTGGCCAAGCAATTGCAATGTGAATGAGACCGTATAGTTTTTATCCCCTTAAACAGGTGGAATGATTGTGGATCATGATGATTTGAATCCTTCATGATGATTTTGAATCCTTCAAAATCAACTAAATTTGACTAGATATTGCTGACAGACCAACAAAAGCACTGGATAAAAAATATGGGTATATTGAATTATTCAAGCATCTTGCATTACGATTTTGGTCGAATTTATAGTTGTAAACTATTTCATCCTATCATAGTTACTTGAAATATGATATCATTTTAAGAGTAATCCTTATTCCCTATAATGATGCTGTTCCAAAGGGCAATAAAAAGAATGGAAAGTCCACAAATTGTGAAACAAATTTAACCTTACGCAATCTTATATGAATAATAACAAAATCCAACTAAACGAATGTTTCAAGAAGGCAACATTGCCGAAGGACTATGACAGAACGTATAGTTATACTTGAAGGATGAGCAAACCAATTCGAGAAAATAGACATAACAGCGGGGGTTGTACCCGCACTATGCAATTTAAAATACTATGTATACCGTCACCGTGTGCCATCCTGTTTTTCATTTTTTTGGGTCAGTTTTCGTAAGTTTTATTTCATTTTTTACTGGTCAATGAAGGTGGTTTAGAAGTCCAGAATAACTTTACATGTTGTTTGCACGTGGTGTAATTTTAAGAAAAAACTGGGGTATAAATACCTAACAATGGGTCACTCTTCTATCATGTCTATTTTCTCGACTTTCTTTGCTCATTGTTTGGGGGCTTAATTTGTCTCGGAACAGTTAGTGTGATGCATTCACTTCAGAAATTGGCGTGGGCCGGTTCGTGTCAGTTAAGGTCCAGTTTTGGTTTGCGCAGCAATGGAGGCACTTATGTCTCCGAGCTTTACCCCTTTTCATTCTAGAGGGTGCAGACCTTGTAAGACTTTAAGTACTATTTTGTATTTTCTACTCCAATTGTTGCTCTCCGACTCATTGCATTCATTAAAGACCCAGACAATTCTATTTACTGAATAGATTGATAATCTTCAATTGGTTCACTGCCTAAAGAGATTTGTGTGCTACATTTTAGTCTAAGGGTGTTCAAACTTTCCATTTCTTTGCGAAAAGCGTTTTCTATGCCGATGTATCGATTTCGGATTTTCGAGAGTAATAGCGAAAATGAGGGATTTGTACCATGTGCAATATTTCAGTTACAATCCCCACTGATTGTAAAATGATAAAATGGAGAAATTTAACCATTGAATGTAGATATGCAATTGGTATAGTTCTATTTAATATATCACACACCTTTGGGAATGTTTCCATTTGTTATCATTCTAGTTTAAAAAGGCTACTGGTAAATGTTTTGAGATAATTGTTCTGAGAAAATTGTAAAAAGTTGAAGTGAATTGAATTGATTGAATTGATTTATTTTCCGCATTCCCCAAAACAACTAAACAATATACTCGATATACATAATAATTATTCAAAACCTTAAAGACGTTATAAACATTAGAAAGAAAAAAAAGCTTCTTTTAAATCACTCAAAGTCTTTTAAGAACTCCCAATTATTTACTTTAACATATTGTCTTCTCTAACCATCAATTTTGTGGAGTGCTCACTGCACTATAGAGATTTATTTCGATTGTGTTGCCTTTACAAGCGCAAATAAAGTCTGTTAAAGGAAACCAAAACCTTCATACTAAGTTACTTTTATTGTAAAGTTTAAGATATTTGAAAAATATCAGTGAACATTTGAACAAAATCGGGCAAGGAATAAGGAAGTAAGAGCTTTTTGAAATTACTAGTCACTAGAGGGCGGTATTCAATTTGATGACATCATCTGTGGACAACTCTCCATGCCTTTTGTACATCAAATTTCATGTTTTTCCTTCTTTCTTGTGATTGAGATAATGTACTCCCCTGAAAGCAAAATATAGAATGCAAAATGATATTCTACTTCACATGTTATGAAGTCGGATCAAGAACACTAATAAATACGAAGAAAACAAAAAAATTGTGAAATTTTATGTACAAAAGGCATGGAGAGTTGTTCACAGATGATGTCATCAAATTGAATACCGCCCTCTAGTGACTAGTCAATTCAAAAAGCTCTATCTTTCTTATTCCTTGCCCGATTTTGTTCAAATTTTCACTGATTTTATTCAAATATTTTAAACTTTACAATAAAAGTAACTTAGTATGAAGGTTTTGGTTTCCTTTAACATGGTGAATAGAGCGCATGCAGCTTTTAATAGTGCCCGTAACTCAACTCAATATTTAAACTTTTTATTTTTTGCATTTAACTTTGTTCACGGTTTCACTCTCACAGCTAGGGCCCGTCAAAAACCGCGCAATTTGCTAACGCAGTGTTACGTCAGTAAATGACGCATTGTTTGCATGAAGGCATATGGAGGTAATTGACCCATACGCCGATGTGGCAAAGAAACATGATGTTTGGACTATACTCTTTGAATTCACATTTTTTACGTAATCACTCTCAGATGGCCCGTCAATGACTGCGTCAGTAGCTGACGCAGTATTATGTCAACAATTTATGCCTCATTTGCAATAAGCCTAAACATTTCTTTGTGCTGATCAAGTTTCTTTCTTTTTTTCTGTCTTTTCCCGCCATTCTCTTAGATCAAATTCCTCACAACGCATAGCAGTCGTCTGCGCGCAAAGCTTCAGTCACACGTTCACCCAGCACGCCGACTCGATCCCCGCCGAGAGCTCCGGCGTCTTCCAGTTCTTCCCGCTGACCACCAGCTACCAGCCGTACCAGGTCAAACCAGACGCGATGGCACGACCGGTCGGGCTCTCCCTGGACTTCCAGAAGTTGATTGGTCACGTCTTTCAGTCGCCCAGTGGCAACGGCTTCCGGCGTCACAACGAGACGATGCTCGGAGTCAGCTCGATTGTGAGGAGTGACCATTTCTGAGAACATCGGCCCTGTCACACATGTGCATGGATGGTCCTGCAACATTGGTTGGGGCTGTCTCTGTCGGTGTCTTACATGACAGCTCTAGAGAGACTTGAGAGGGCACCTGAAATTCCTCGCAATTCCTGCTTCTAACTTCAATACAAGAGGTCGAGGAGGTTAAGAAACTGGAAACATATTACCTTCCAAATAGAGGAACTTGTCTTTCCATATGCGCTATATTTTCCCAACTTGGTTTTAAAAATTGCCTGTAGAACAGAGAGGTTTATCTTTTTAACTTGAATTCACTATTTTTCCAGACTATTTTCAATGCAAGTTTTAAAAAATGTACATCTTCGTCAAAGGAATCTGTCTTCCATACCCAGTAAATTATGAATTTTTAAATATATTTATATATATATATATATATATATATATATATATATATATATATATATATGTATTTTTTTAGAATAAAGAAACTTAAGTCCGAAGTACACGCATGTATATTTCCCAACTGTGGTTGCAACAATTGTCAATTGTTGTGTTTTACTTCATTATGCTTGTCATACAAAAAAATTGTATCTTTATACAGATGCGCTTTTCTGTTGAGATGTTTGTCGATATGTCATTATATGCATGGCCATTAGTATTGTATTCATGACTAACTTTTGTTTTACCGTTAAGTGCCTGTTTTTCAGATATGAAACAGGTGGGGGGGGGGGGTTGGGGTCCTCTACATCCTTTATATCACATTATGTCTACGCTTGGTAGTATTAAAACTCTTTTGATGCTGATCTGTTCTTATTCCAACATGGATAAAGTAAACCTGGGCCCCGTTTCAACAAAATTGTTATCATGAACAACTGCCATAGATCTATGACAAACCTGCTCGCAGCCAATCAAATGCATGAATTTCCGTAGCTTATAACAATGATCGTAATTTGTTATTGATAACAAGTTTTATGGAACAGAGCCTGCGGATGATCACCCTGGTGTTGACGTCACACTCCAGTAAGTATCTGTGTTATGAGGACATAATATCGGTGTTTAATATTCAGAGGGAGTAAAATGACTTGGGAAGATCTTACACAAGGATCCATGCAGTGCCTTCGTTTATCTTGTTATTATCTATAGAGTTAGTGGGTGGTTTGTCTGTTCTACATGACTGCTAATAAAGCACGTATGTGCATGTACGTTGGCAACTAGGGGGAACGACGGCTTTAAGTCCTCTCCGAGGGTCTTGGTAATGAGGATAAATGCATAGCGCATCGACTTGATTTCGAACCCGGGTCACCGGATTACGAGACCGCTGCTCTACCACTTAGTCATCACGCCTCCTCAGTCATACCAACGACAACCAATCAGAAGCAAGGATTTCAGTAGCTTATAACAAAATCGGTCATTTGTCACTGATGACAAGTTATGTGGAACGCCCCCAAATGTTTTCTTGTTGTTGATACAATAATGAAGCTATACAGCTTTCAGCTTCCAAATTTTCGTGGTGATTAAAAGCCCGGAACAGAAAGTAATGTTGATATTTCTTTGTATCATAGGCTGGTGACCTATTAATAATTGCTCCGGCGACATTTTGCTCTGAGCTTTATTTTGTCAAGGATAATTTAGGGCTTCATAGTTGCAATATTTTGGGCTTTATGTTAAGTTAGGTTTTTAGCAGGGTTATGTTTTTTTTTTTTTTTTTTTTTTTTTTTTTTTGAGGGGGGGGGGGGGGGGGGGGCAGAGTTTAAGTTACGGATTCGGTTAGTCAGTAGGATATTGACCCGGAGCAATTGTCGGACTACGGTTATTCAATGTTTCGACCGATTGGTTATTATTCTGTAAGCGCTTCACATTATTTGTGAAGCCTTTAGTATATATTGTTTATGTAATGCGCTATGTCGAAATAAGATTGTAGCTCGTTGTATGCTGTTATGTACACGGCAAACTGGCATTTTTTTATTTTTTTATTTTTATATCTTACGTACTTGGTATATTCGTACTTGCTAGTCGGTTCTTATTTGTAAGATGGGACGTCGGGGGAAATTGTATAGAAGTTCAAGAAATCACGAATTAGAGTAAATAATATGTATCTGTAGATCGATAGGCCAGAGTACTGAATATATATTTATTTATATGTGCAGAATATTATTGTGCAAATATCATAGGCTACGCTTTATTTGTCGGTTTAGTCTTATGAAATTTAGAATACAGATGAATAACTTATTTACTTATTAAAAGAGGAATGCAACTTATTTGATTTTACAAGCGTTTTAACGTTACATCGGTGTTTAAAACTGTGATCTCGATTTTGGAAAACTTACGAGGGTGTAGAAATAAGGGGCTCAAAGTATGCTAAAGAGAGGGAGAGGGAGAGCTAACAAAAGAGTGACAAAGAGAGAGAAAGAAAAGGTAAAAATGTGGGAAAAAAAATAAAGAATAAAAGCGGAAAAGGGAGATAGAAATATAAAGAAAAGAGCGGGAGGGAGAGGATGAGAGAGAGAGAGAGGGGTGGGGGTAGAGAGAGTGAAAGAGAGAGAGAGGTTGGGAGAGAAAGAGAAAGAGGGATAGAGAGAGAGTGAAAGAGAGGGAGAGATGGGGAGAGAAAGCGAGGGGGAGAGAAAGAGAGAGAGGGGGATAGAGAGAGTGAAAGAGAGGGAGATGGGGAGGGAAAGAGAGAGAGAGGGATAGAGAGAGTGAAAGAGAGTGAGATGGGGAGGGAAAGAGAGAGAGGGATAGAGAGAGAGAAAGTGGAGAGAGAAGGGGGAGGTGAGGGGATAGGGAGGGACTATCATAATGTGGGCGGGGTGATGAGAAAATGCGTTGCTATATTATCATAACAGATGAAGAAAAGTCTAGTATTCAAAGAAATGATATGGGTTGAAAGACATAATATCCCAGGCACATCCCAGGCGGACCCCACACTGATTGATAACAGACAAAATCTTAGCCATTCGGAGTTATGTAATTCTGTGTGTGTTCCATTGTCGGTCTGGCGTCGATCTCATCCATGTGACTTGGGTGTTAGAAGGGCAGGAAACGTGAATTTAAAAACAAAGCTCACACAAACAATTACATTCAATCAAGTCCAATAAAAAATCTTTTGAGATTTATTGTGCAAAAGTATAATTCACTTTCCATATATATTATTCCACTTATCTGTGTTTTCTCATAGATATATACATAGTACGTCTATAACATTTAGTCAATCTTTCACTATCTAAGGATGTCTCAAATGACAGCCCTAAATATTTAATTTCACAAATTCGAAGAGTAAAGAATCACAATTCTTTTACATGCTTTACAAGAGGACATTGTATTTTAAAAAATACTAATTATTCTAATTCTATATTCTAAACAATTATTTTGGATCCGCCTGCATGTGCACCCAACTATTCCGCATTTCACAGCTTCATCATTTCTCAAGTTAGATGGCGCCCTTTATATAAAACATACCCAGAGCCATTGATTCGGAGAGTTTGGCCAACCCGGTTCGAGTTGGGCACGATATGGAGAATACTACATCGTTGGGCAAGCGCAAAACAAAAGATTATTCGTCATGTCGTGACCAAGTGAAACCAAATTGGCCAAATTCTATGTATAGATGGCTCTGGGCCCCGTTTCATAAAACTCGTTATCTATAACAAATGTTAAATTTCTATGACAAATTTGCTCTCAGCCAACCAGATGCTATTATTTTAGTAGCTTATCACAGTAGCTTGTAACTTGTTATTGATATCAGGTTTTATGAAACAGGGTGTCGATCTATTTCCATTTTTGCTTGAGTGTATAATTTTTCTTTTGACAGTTTTTTGGCAAGTTTAGTCCAACATCGTCCTAGAAAATGATCTAGCGACGTCCCTGATGGGACTGTGATATTAGTTCAGCTTCTGTCCGTTTTATAAATTCCTTATATCACACACACACCGCGCGATCCCCCCCCCCCCCCCCCCCCCCCCCCGAAGTACCGTCGAAAAGGGTAGAGAATGAGAGGAATGGCAAGGTCTACTGTCAACGTTGAGGGTGTGTTATTTTATAAACTGATTGGGTGCGCGACACGGAAGTGGTACAGAGGCTGGACTACTGTAAAATATGACCCTCAATTCTAAATTTCATTTTCAATTAAAAGCGAAGTTATAAAAGGTGATAGCATTTATACACACTCAAGTTCAATATTGCAAAATGTCATTACTCATAATAGTAGTATTACAAAAAAAGGTAATCACAAGGGTTTAAAATACTTAAACGAACACAGATCTAACATCATTAGTAGTGCCGTGAGGAATAGATTATGCATTCTAAGAACCGTTCAATGTGATTTGGCATTATCAAAACAAAATAGTTACAATACTTTTTGAACAATTAAACGAATTAAATTTAATCTAATTTCGAAAGAATAGGGAAAATGTGTTACCCAAGCCTAATTATTACCACTGTGATAATTGCTAATCCACATTATTAATCTTAAAACTAGTCTCACAGTCTCTGATTAAACATTCATTATAATATTCTAAATACTTTGTACATTTGACTTTGCATATCAAAACAAACTGACAGCTTAAAATAGTATGGTCAGACGTCAAATGTACCATTGAATTTGTTCTGAATTCAGAATTCTAACATCAGGACAAATGAAAAGAAACCGAGCGTCGATCGAGTAAGCATACTTTGCTTATTCATTAAAGCAGTATCATTAATGAAAAAGGTTCAGTGATATAATATTTCGTTACCTTAATTTATGATTTGTTTACCGATCATGGGGTAACTATGGAATAATACGAATGTTTTCGATTTATAAATAATTATTGCACATGATATTCACAGACATTACATACTGTAAGGCACACTTCATAACATTTTTTTCCAATTTTGTCTTTACCTCGACATGCTGACAAATTAAGGCTTAAAAAGAAGCAGTTGACCGGACGTTTGTGTGACCGACGCCTCGCTCATAGGTCTTACAACATACGTTTCACGATACGTTTAACGTTGGTCTCGTGGACCCTCTCATTACATAATACAAGAGACCAAAGTGTCGGTCTCGCAGACCTTCTGCCAAATTCTTCTGAGGGTTCACAAGACCGACGATGTCAGCTTCACTGTAGGTTTAAAGGGATGCCCCGTCTCACGATTCTTTCTTTTCAAGTATCCGCAGGTTTTTTTCTTCTCGAAAAGCTTTTTTAACTGTCTGCAACACAGTCACTTACTATAAGGTCGTGATCGCTTCAGCACTCATCATGGCAGCCTCTGAACAGATCATGCTTGTATCATGCTTGTAAACGGTCTAGCCGCTTACCTTCCACGATCCTACCAGGAGGCGCGATAGCTCATTCGGTAGAGTAGTGGTCTCGTAATCCAGTGACCCGGGTTCGGAACCAAGGCGATGCGCTAGTTCCCTTTGGTAAGGCATTAATCCTCATTAACAGGTCCCTCGGAGAGGACCTAAAGCTGGTTGCTTACTTACAAGCATTTATGCTTTCTTAGCAGTCAGGTAAAATAACCACCACCACGACCATTCATCTTAAACACGATATGTAACGAGTTCTGCAGCTCATGCAAATTTACATATCAATTTCGTAAGATGTGCAGCACTCGTCGTGGTAGTTTGTGAACGGGTCCTGCTTGCTGGGGGTTAACTATGGCACCGTAGACACTTTTAGCGTAGCTTGGACGTGAACAAGAACTACAGAGCTCGTGATAGGTCAGGTTCGAGATTGTCTTAGTGGGCGAAAGCCCAACGGAAATAAACAAAATTATTTTTAATTGGAAAAATCCCAAAGGACGCAAGACCTTGTGCACTTTCGTGCATGGATTTAAAAAAAAAAAATATCCTAAATACACTTTCCTTACAGTATGTTTACGGTTTTGATACCCTTCTTCTAAAGGGAAGGTAATTAAGATAGTAACCTGTAAAATGAGGCAATATGGATTTTTAATTTGTATCTTAATATCTTAATATTTGTATTTTAATAGGATCCTGAAACTCAAAATTTTGATTCGGGTGTAACTCCACCACACTCTCCTTTAGCTACTCACCTGGATACAGACAAAATAAACCCAACTTCTCTTTATTAATTACCTTCCTTCCATTTTCTCTTCAACTTGTAAAATGTATTACTATATATTAAATGACAATATATATGAATAACTATTTCTGTATCGAATTAAAATATTGAAATCAAAACAAAAAAAACTTATAGAAAGTGTGTGCATAATGGTGACGATTCCTATTGCACGGTTTACACTCTATTTTTGATCATCTTTTTTTCTCTGCATGTCTCATGAAACCTTCGAGAAACTTTGTAACAACAGTTTACAATTTACATCCCCTAATTTTGTTGATTTCTTTATAATCATGGTAACTGCTGCTAACCAAAGATAAATAGCCTATTTAAACGTGTTTTTGTGTTCATTTTGCAGTCGCTTTGATAGAGAGATTATTAAAAAGGTTGAAATGTTAGCCTCTGGACTACCATCCCTGACAAATACCCGATAGCAGGGATCCAGTATTGTCTCAAGCGACTATTGCTCCAGGCTTGACTACGTCAAAGATATATGGTTAAGCTTTGGGTTTAGGGTTGGGGTTAGAGTAAGGGTTGCAATGCGGTGTTAGGTTAATAGGAGTAAGTATAGTGTTTGGTCCATGTTGCGATGGAGGTTTACGTCAGGTTTAGGTTTAGAGTTTCAGTGTTAGGGTTAGTTTTGGTGTTTATTCCAGGGTATAAAATTAGCAATTCGGTCAGTGTACGAAATTGACCAATGAGAAAATCTCGCAGGAGGTTGTGTCATGGAACCCTTGCCCTCTAAAGCAATAAGTTATCCCTTATAAGTAAAATATAGTTTCCCTAAGGGGTTCTTGTCCCGTGGGGTATTTGTCCTCATGGGTTGTTATCCAGTGGGGAAGTTGTCGTGTGGGGTAATTGTCCTGAGTGGTAGTTGTCCTTTGGGGTAGTTGTCCTGTGGGGTCGTTGTCCGTGGGGTGTTTGTCCTCTTGGGTGGTTACCCAGTGGAGTAGTTATCCTGAGTGGTAGTTGTCCTTAAGGGTAGTTGTCACATGGGGGCATTTGTCATCTTGGGTCGTTGTCCAGTGGAGTAAATGTCCAGTGGGATAGTTGTCATGTGAGCTTGTTGTCCTCTGGGGTAGCTGAAATGTGGGTGGGGTTGTTGTCCTGTGCCAGTGGGGCAGCTGTCCCATGGGATCGTTCTCCTGGGGGGGGGGGGGTAACTATCCTGTAGTGTAGTTGTCCTGTGACGTAGTTGTCCTATGAGATTGTTCTCCTGGGGGTAATTGTCGCAAGGGGTAGTCGATGGTCCAATAGTCCATTAGTCCGAGGTGACGTTTTTCTAAGGAGTAATGTATAGTCCTGACATAGTAAAGTGTAGTTGATCAGGGTATTTAGTCCATGGGTAACAGGGGAGGGTAATTGTTGGGCGGGGGGGGGGGGGTACATTATTGTACAGTTTTCAAAAAATCGCAGTACTTAATTATTCGCGCAAGAAAAAAAAACTATGTTATATTTACTACTGCTTCCAGTCACTTCACCCGGATTTACGTGTTCAAGGCATTACAATAATTGTACATTGTATTGCAAATATATTCATATGACAAAGACACACACACATAGTAAACACACACGTAGTAATAATAATTTGTATAAAAATATACAGTATTCTATACTTTGATGTTCCGCACAGTAGCACTTTAGGTTTTTGTTCAAAACAAGCCGATGATATAACTTAAACCGAATAGATAGGCCTACTCTGATCTAGAGACATAATGAAAAATATAACTCTAAAGGTACCATAAAATCTCGACAACTTTCATACAAGCGCACATTTGCCCTTGTAGCTATACCAATTTATATATATATATCTATTGTATTAAATGTGCAAAACTCAGAAGTCTTTGTGATCTATTGGTGTAATAGTGATCTGTGACGACCCTACTGATTGGGTTCACGTTATTCTCTTGTATCGAGATGAAAATGATGAACTCAAATATAAAACGCTCAATATTTTTCGTAGTCGACGTGGAATAAATGTTCAATTAACTCCAGATCTGACTCTCTCCGCTATTTGCAGGAGAACAAACATCATTAGGAAACGTCATCATCAAAACATTCTTCACGTGAACCATGACTGAACGCTCTCCGCAATCTCGAGAGAACCGCCGAGTACCATGGCCATGAGTTTCGCTGCGTGCGGGCTTTGCATACACATCGACTCCGACCGATGTCCCCTAGTTCCAGTGTAAGCGAACCGTGACGAATTGCACATGGGGAATTCCCGTGAGGTTGTGTCTTTAAACCGTTGTCATCTCGGTCCAAATTGACGGGGTCACGCTTTAGATACACCGGCCTTGCCTGATGATCCGCTTGAATGAAGTGTAATCGCGTTTTTCCGTTTTGCGGGAGATAAATAATTGTTATTTTCTGTCCGGGCACCAGATCGTAAATTCCTTCGTTTTTTGTCCCCGTCCGACGATGAAGGCGAGACACTTTTACTAGGAGGAGCAGGCGACAGGGAATGTTGCGGGCTCGTTACACTATGCGATTCTTCCTTTTCTTCTATAACGGTTCCTCTCGGGTCCATAACGGGATTGTCATAACCGCCCTCGTCCCCGCTTTCCTTTCCGAGCGGGGTTGCTCGATCGTCCGTGACGTACGACGGACGGACACCATCACCCGCGCGCTCGTCCATTATTGCTGCTTGGTTATTGTCCGCTAAACGCGAAGGTACGTGTAGTCCTTTCACAGGTGTGATCGATCGGCCGAAACGCACGCTCTCTTGACCACCGTCTGTCCAGCTTCCCGTGCTGATCCGGCGGGAGTCGGCCTCGCTCATCAGCTGGTCGTCGGTGTGCTCTCGAACGGACGGACGCGCAGAAGTCGATTCTCGCTTCTCTGCGATCGTGGATGGGCGAGGTGCGTTGTCTGTTTTGTTCATGTGCTCCTCTATAAGGCGGTCTTCGGGGATGTCGTAGGCGTCTGACATTCTGTGCGACGGGGAGAGAAGACTGTCTTGGCTTATCATTGTGTCCGTTGAGCTACAGATTAATAAAGGAGAGAAAAAAAACATTATATTAGCCTCGATATGAAAGTTTATTATCTGTCAGCTTTTCATTTTCTTCAGATTCATTATTTTTGGCTGATAGTTGAAGCACAGGATCATGTAACATAGTAATATCCTCTTAAACATCTACATAAGGTAAAAAATCAAATGTGTTCAAAATATCAAAGTACGATTGCCAATCTACATGTATTTAGCATACATTTTACGTCTTCAACTTTATCATATTATGCGTATTTCTCTTTGCATACGCCTACTACCCAGTATAGACAGACAACCCATTAGCCCGACATCACAATTGATAAATGGTCCACTAGATAGACAGCTCCAAAGACTGAAATATCGGTCTTATGAACCCTGAGAAAGGTTTTCATGAAGCCTGTGACAAGTCGCTTTCGTGTGCTGTCAGTACGACGGGTCGTTTGTCCATGAAGCCTCGGATACTTATATCATATTGGATGGCTTTGAGTGTGATACAAGAATGTATTGCTCGAGCTATGACAATATTGAACGAGTCAGAGACGAGTCCAATATTTTCATAGCGAGAGCAATATATTCCTGTATCACAGTCATCCGGGTCAGTCACCTAGGTACTGCGCTAAAGATAGTGAATACACTGATTTATTGTATGACTTGGAAGCCTTATATAAATAATGATATTTGTTATCTCCAAAAGGCCCATTAAACCAAAATTATTGGTCTCGAGGGCTGTGTGTCTTGCGTGCCCTAGGTCTCAGGGGCTATAGCCTATTACCCCAAAAGCATTATTCGTCAAATTGCTTCGTCATTGATGACGTTATAGTATTGCAACTTACATTTTCTTGCTGACGGCAGTGTCAATGGAGTAACGTGGTCTGATCGTAGTGTCAGTACCTAACAACCAATATGTCGTCATCTGGCCTTTCCCCTGTACAAGGATGATAAAATACAAGGTAATAAATCCAAAGGTTCAAAATATGCGTCCTGGACCTAAAGTGTAATAGCAGCAAAGTTGCACATCTGCTTAATTTGAAGTTAAATATTGCACCTTTCTGAGTGATCTCCATATAAATTCATCATGCATATCTGCAACTGTCATAAGGTTAAATATGGGGTGATACTGCCTTGTGCTGTTTTCCTGAGGCAGATTAAAATGTTCCAAAAATACTTTTAACTTAAAACAATTTACTTAGATGCTGCTTGTCAGTATCGACTTGTATGGTGATGTCGATATACAGTAGGCTTGCGGGTGCACCATGTGAGAGAGAGTGAGAGAGAGAGAGAGGGAGGATTGAGGGGTCCTGAAAAGGACTCTCGGTAATCTTTCTTGAGGGTGTGTAGTCCTGAAAAGGACTGATGATATAGTCTTGAAATAGACTGTTGGTTATCTTTCTTAGCTTATAGTTTTAAGGAGAACTATAGCGCTTGGAGAGGAAGAGTGGCGGGAGTGGCTCGACGTTTCGAACAGGTTGACTATCCGTCATCAGTAGTGGAAAATAGGGGGCTCCTGACTGACCTAGAGGTTTATAATTATCATTGCAGCATGAGCTAAATCAAGGATTTTTTTTAAAGGATCTAAGGCAAAGTTACCGGATTCCTTTAATACCTTGATAGTGATGAGGCCTCGCTTTTCCAAGACGTAGCCTCCGAGTTCCTTGAGGACAGCTGCACTGTCGGAGCTGCAGTGGATCTTTTGAGGCAAGCTGTTCGATTCCATCCTGGATGCCGTGTTGACAGTGTCTCCAAAGAGACAGAACCTTGGCATGGTCAACCCCACAACCCCTGCTGCCACAGGCCCTGAGAGAAGACATGAGAAGGCAGGAGATAATTAATAGTGTCGTGTTAGATGAGGCGCGATAACTCAGTCGGTAGAGCAGTGGTCTCGTAATCCGGTGACACGGGTTCGAAACCAAGACGATGCGCTAGGGCCCTTTGGTAAGGCATTAATCTTCATTACCAGGTCCTTCGGAGAGGACCTAAAGCCGTCGGCCGTCTGGTTGCTTACTCACATTATGCTTTCTTAGCAGTCGGGTAAAATAACCACCACAACACAAGAAAACTATGGAGCGGGATTGGGGTAGGACTAGGAAAGCGAGACCATTTGCCTAGATTACCAATTGCAAGATTCAATATTGAATTGTTCCTCGTAAAATGATAAAAGTCTGTACTTTGTTGTAATTTATTGCGAGATGCTTTCTGTTCAGTTCTCAGAACGTTTTTGAGGCCTGTAAAGCTCGGCCTACTTTTTGGTATTATGAAACTTTCTTAATTTCGGTAATGTGGACCTAAAGGCAACCTTGGAATTTGGCCTATTGGGACAGCCCCTTCCAAGGCAAGTAGCCTACAGTCATGGAGATGATACTATTGGGATATTTGTATCGTAGTCAGCAGAGCAAAATACGCATCAGAAATTACAAATACAGACACAAATATATGACAAATAAAATCACTTCGTGTATTCCGGTTTTGGATTAAAAATTCACTGTAATTTGCTATAAACAGGCTTACGCTATTAGGGGAAAAAATAGCAAATATAAATACAATTTATTCCTCTCGCCCACTTTATATTCTGTTCATGTCTTACCTGTATTGATGCCTATCCTGATCTGTAGCTGGTGATCGGGCTTGTGTCTTATCCTGAATTGCCTGGCACCTGTGAGAAGCTCAAGAGCGACGCAAGCAATCTCACCGGCATGTCTGTTACCGTTCCGCCGAGGGAGGCCGCTGACTACCATGTAGGCATCGCCTATCGTCTCCACCTAGAACGGAAAACAGCAGCAGCAGGGAGTGATTCAAATGTCGATGATTGAAATAGTTTTAGATGTGACATGAAATGACAACTGAACGTGAGATAAACGCTTGTGATTGTTGTCATCTTCCATTTCAAGTTAGACCTTCCTAATAAAATCATGTAGATTGTCGGGTCATGCTCACGCCGTCCAATGGGAGAGACTCTCGGATGCAATAATCAAATGTTCCATACTGTTCTCACTTTGCTTCCGATCTGAGAAAGTTTTCGTACAGTCATGTGAGGAAAAACGAAATTGGCTATTCCAAATCATAAACAACATGATTATGTAAATAATTAATTACACATTTTAAAGATAAAGTATTTTACTGTACTTTTCTTTCCATAGTGGAAAGGCTTCATTTGAAATACTATTTATTGCTATCGAAGCAATCCCTCTTGAAAGGTAAACAGCGCCATCTCTTGATCCAATGTCTGTCCGTCGTCGTTTTGTTATGCTGTTACATACCTTGTAGACGTCGAACCTTTCGAGCACGGCATCGAAGCAGGTATAGAGGTCGTTGAGGAGATCGACGACCTGCATGGGTGTGCTTTGAGCAGAGATATCGGTGAACCCGACCACGTCGCTGAAATAAACGGTCACGTGATCGAAGAATTCCCCTGGGAACTGGTTGCCCTTTTTGAGCTCTTCAGCCACGACCCTGGAGGGATAAGTTGAAATTGGAGAAGAAAAAGAAAAATCGTGAAAACAGAACGCCTAGATAATTAGCTACAGAGAATTTTTAATTTCCCTTTCAGAGTAATGCACGTCATCTAAAGAACACAGGGAAGAGGTGTCGTGGACGAGTGGATACATCGCCGGACTGTCGATCACAAGGTCCGCGGTTCAAATCCCGCCGCGGCACTAATGTCCTTTGGCAAGACATTGATCTACATTTGCCACACTCCACCCAGGTGAAGTAAATAAATGGGGACCGGTGGGAAGGAATTCCTTAAATGATGTGAGCACCGAAATCGGCAGCCTAGCAGAGCCGGGGTAATATTGGAGCGCTTTGAGCACCCTGCAGGGTGGCTATGTGCGCTATATAAATATCCAATATTATTATTGTTATTATTAATTGCTGCTGATTACATGTAAAATAGACTTGTCAAAAACGATCTCTGTAAGTTTATGCGGAAGCGCTTTTTGACATCGTTGCAGTGCCATCTATGCAAGGAGAAGCGTGTACACTGTAGGTGCTAAAGGGTCATTAGTATACGGTAAGTCACATGATTGAAAAGCAACACTTATATCCAATGTTGGCCATAGAAACTTCCGGAGACCGATCAAATGGATACAGCCCTTTTGTTTTCCTTTTTTTTGTTGGAATGCCTGGAGTACGTGTCGAAACAAAACTATGAGGTATTCAATAGCAGTGACCACATAATGGAATCTAATTATGAGGAGGGAGTGGGAGGGGGGGGGGCAAGAAACTGTCTTGGGATTTATGTTTTGATTCCAGAACAGGATATTGACTTACTCTGGTAGCATTCGGAAGAGGAGCGCATCTGTCTTCTTCTTCTCCTCCAAGAGCTGTCCGGTCCTGTCAGCAACCACTTTCTCCAGGTTCTCCGTGTATTTCTCCATCTTGGAGAGCATGTTGTCCAGGATATCAAGCTCTTTTCTGTTGAAAGAATGAAAGACATAGCTTAGTCAACATTCAAATCGTTCTACTACAGAAGAGGTGTTGTGGTCTAGTGGATAAGTCACCCGACTGCAGATCATAAGGTACAGGGATCAAGTCCCGCCGCCGTACTAATGTCATTTGACTAGATGTTAATGTTAATCTACATTTGCCACTCTCCACCCAGGTGTAAATGGGTACCTGATATGCTTGAGTGCTAGTTACTTTGGCAGCTCGGCTATGACCAGGGTAATATGTGTAAAGCGCCATGAGCGTCAGAGCCTGGCGGATACCGGCGCTATTATGAATATCCATATTATTGGTAGTACACAGCGGTACCCTGCATAAATAATATCGGTGTTATTCATTAGATTCAGTTCCGAATTGGATTTTTTTTTAAATGCAACAAATGAATATGAAATCAATTTTTTAATTGATTTACAATGCTTGGAATGGGATCGTCATCACTAGACAATTAATTAGCAAAACTACCGATAATTAGTAGCAAGTTTAATGGCTGTTAGTAGTGTAGTAGTAAATAGTAGTAGTAGTAGTAGTCGTGGTAGAAGTAGTTTTAGAAGTAGTAGTAGTATATAAAAGTTCTTGTTTTTGTTCTCGATGTAGTCGTTGTATTTGTTGAAAGCGAATATATCCAATCTACTATTTTGTTGTTGTAATGTGTTCATTTTTGCTTTGTTATTGCTTTATTCTTCTACAAAACACAACATAAAATGTATTCAAAACAAAAGTTTGTATACCTTCCTTTCTGTAAACCCCTGAGTTTGGCTCTGATAGCCGTAAAATCAGGCCTGTCCTCCGGAAGTTCTTCCCAACACACCTTCATGAGCTCATAAATAGCAGTAAAGATCGTCGCCATATCCGAAGTCTCGAACTCATCTTCGTTAATCTTCGGTCGGCAAGGAGGTTCGTCGCGGCGTATTACTCGCCGGATGATCTCTGCGTTTAATAAAGGAACAGGAAGCAAATACAAATTTCTAGTTTCAACAGTAAATGTTTTAAAGAGCCTTTTAAAGGTAAAGACCAGTTATGGTCATGCGATTGCATTGTGAAAGAAACGTTGTGGAATCGATCAGAAAAGGTTGATCATCTAGCATCTAGCATCTGCAAGGTTCTGGAATCA